GACTCCAATGGCGGCGGCGGCGGCGGCGGCGGCGGCGGGGACGAGGCTGCGCGACGTCAGCTCGCAGAGCAGGCCGGGATCGCCGTCGGGCCGCCGCTGCCACGCCTGCGCGCTACCGTCGCCTGCGTCTGATTTTGCGCTCGGGTCCCAGTTTCGCGCGGAGGGGCGGGCCCAGCAAGGATTGGGAGGGTCCAGCCGGAAAGTCACACGGGGTGTCTGCGGCTGCACTCACTGAGCAGAAAGCGGGCAACAGCGGCCAATTGTTCCTCTGCCCCTGGGCCGCGCCTTCAGAAGCAGCTGGGGAGAGCTTGGCTGGCTTCCCGCGACGGCTGTGTGAGTGACCTCTGGGACCTGCAAGGAGCTTGCCAGCTTATAGTCAAAGCGGCACGTTAGATTCTGAACCCCAATTTCTTCCCCCAGAGGAAAAGGGAATTCAGCCATCCTCTGTATCCTAGCACAGGCCACGCAAGAGGCCGTTGGTCTTTGTTGAAGGATAGACAACTCCTTTCTGCCTCCTAGTTCTCCCCTCGGCCCCATAAGGTCCCCAGCCTGGACAGCCCTCTTAGCGGGTGTTAACCCAGCTCTTCCTGCCCTATCCACCTCTGCCACCCCAGGGCTACTGCACACCCTGACTTCTCCGTTGGCTTTTTTCTTTCTTCCTTTCTAGCATGGGGTAGCATCTTCATGAGACTCAGATCTGCTGAAGGACAGATCTGAGCGCTGGCTGAGTGTAGGGTGTCAGGCATGGCAGGCTGGCAAACACTGCACAGTCCTGTGCAAAGCATGTGCAGGCGGAGCACTGTGCCGAGTGAACATGACTGAGATCTTGGTGGATCACGGGGGGGGGGGGGGGGCGGGAGCTCCAGTCCCATGATCCCAGTTGGGTGTCCCTGGGGCCCTGATCTAAAATTGGGAAAGGCTGGCCTGCCACAAAACAAGGAGGGCTGTCTGATGCCCCAAGGAAGAGTCCTGGGTAGCTAGGGGCTGTGAAACACGGGCCAAGATGAAGTCCACCCATTTAGGTGGGTCTGAGAGAGAACAGCACATGTCAGGAATGGTGGCATACACAGGGAAGACACTCTGGGATCACAGCTGCCAGCAGGCTTCCTGAGGGCTAGAGCCTGCCATCTGCCCCTGTGTGGTGAGGATGAGACCCTTGGAGAGAGGCTTCATACCGCTTCCCAGGAGCCTGGACACTTGGCCATCTTGGAACCTCTGCCCTCCTCCTCCTCCCAACTTTTGTTTATTTGTTTATTTTTGAGACAGGGTCTCTCTATGTAGTCCAGGCTGGGCTTTAACTCACTACATAGCCCAGGTTGGTCTCAAACTCACGGTGATCCTCCTGCCTCAGCCTCCCACGTGCTGGAATTACAAACGTGTGCCACCATGCCCAGGTGCACTTGGGGCCCTCAGTTCATGGCTTGGCTGATCGACAGGGCTTGCACAGGGCCCCGTCCACCTGAGCATAACCTATCCAGCTTCATCCTCCCGCCTGTCTCCATCCGTGCGCTGTTGCCTCCTTTGCGTCCAGTAGAGGGAGCTCTGCTTCAGGAGTTAGGACCCAGCTCAGCTCCCAGCTCTGACTTGGCTGTTTCTCTAGCTGGAGGCTGCAGATAGAAGGGAGTGCCGCTCCCAGGGGTATGGGTGGGCAGTCACCTCCTGGGCCTGCCGTCACTCCTGAGCTACGCAGCTACTAGTCTGCACAGCTGCTGCACACTTGACACTGGGGGACTGCATTTTCAACTTTAGTTTTTGTTTTGGTTTTTTCCGGTACCGGGGATCGAACTTAGTACCTTGTGCTTTCGAGGCAGGCACAGAACCACTGAGCTAAATCCCCGGCCCTCAGTTTTAGTTTTAATAAAATTCAAATGCCCACAAATGGCTCACAGAGGTGTCTCAGATAGCCCAGCTCGGTTGGCCCCCAGGCAATGCCACTCAAGGTTGGTCCTCGGCATCCCTGCAGCACACGGAGCACATCTGTCCCCCAGGCCAGAGGATCTCAAGTCTCCTGGGACAGATTTGGGGACCTGTAGGTGCCAAAGGATTCCAGGTGAGCCTGGTGGTCAGTGCGGCTCGAGAGCCCCTGCGCTGCACACACCCTGCAACTCTGCAATTCTACCTCTGTGGGGTGGGGACAGCAGTGTCAGGTTTGTCCCTCGAAGCCTAGTGCTTCCACCTCCCTCCCTGGACCTCCCTGTGGCCCAGGAGCCCCAGGATCCAGCCCTTCCCGAGGCTGACCCTAACAATCGGCTGCATCCTAGGCTGGACTCTGGGCCACAAGCTCACAGCAGGGTGGTCAGTGAACATTTGGGAATAGAAGACTGCTGCTCCGCTGCCCGAAAGCCCTGGTAGAAGCCCTTGATCTATCGCTGGCTCCAGGCGGCCTCTGTCAGCTTCCTGGGCCCCGGGGCTCAGGGTAGGAGCTGGAAGGAGTCAGGCTCCCCAGCGCTGCACAAGCTTGAAGAACCCAGCCAGGCCACTCGCGCCCAGAAATACAGCTGACGCAACGTACCCACATGGGGCAGCAGCCACTGCAGACGCCCGGAGGTGTGGGCCAGACAGCTGCACTCGAGGAAAAGCAGCCCAACTGTGTCCCACAGCCAGACTTACCTCCTGGCCTAGCCCGGTGCAGACCCGCCGGTGGGGAGCCCGGGTGGGGCCGCACTGCCTTGCTCCTGCCTGTCCCGTGCGCCCCCTGCTGGCCTCTTGCGGCTCTGTCAGCGGCTCTCTCCCGCCCTCCAGGAGCAGGGTGCCCAGTGCGTCCCCTGCGACAGGACGCCCCGGGGGACAGCCCTCAGGAGCACACTCAGCATCCGGGGCCCCTCCTACGCTCGCACCCCAGGCTGTTTGAGGGTCGCCGTGGGGAGCTCAGGTGTTCCCAGCAACGTGGCCTGTTCTCCGAAATGCTCTTGATGAGGGCTCGCCCCTCCCTCCGGTAGGACCATGCCACCCTCCGGCCCGCGCTCTTCTGTGGCTCTTCAGGCACCCAGTCAGTCACTGCAGGCGTCAGCAGGGAGCCCAGCACAGGCAGCCAGGCAGCGCCGCGGAGACTGCCACGGAGGGTCTGTGGGGGTCCCAGCCGGGCGTGGCTGGCAGGCCGCTGGGGTGCTCTGCTCCTGCCTGCCCCTTGCCGTGCCTCACCCTACACCGTGGTCTCACCAGCCTCAGAGCCCAAGCCCCTTCCTGGGAACTCACGCCTGCCCAGAGCCCTGCAGTGCTTGTGGACCCAGGTCAGGGTGTTCCTGTCTGTCAGCTCTCAGACCCCAAACAGAAGAGAAGGGAGTGGCTTGGCTCCTCCCACAGGCATGCAGGCCCCACCCAGGAGAGGCGGGGACCCCACTGCCTCTTTTACAGACCCCCACTCACCCCTGTGTGGGTCCTGGCAAGAAGGTTGGAGCTCTGGGAGGCTCTACCCACAGACGGGTAGGGGCCCTGAGCTCCCTGCAGTGCCAGCAGGGAGGCACTGCCAGGCTTCGCAGGTGAGGACCCAGACCCTGGGAGCCTGGCTGGGCCTGGGGCCTATGCAGCCCCGCTGTGCTCCACCCCCTGGTGACTTCCCAGCTTGCAGCAAGCCCAGCCTGCCTCCCGGGCCTCAGTTTCCTCACTCTGAAGTAGTGCTGAGTTCTGTGTTAGCTCAGAGGGTGATTGTGAGACCCCCATGAGAGCCTTGTGCTGTGCACGCAGAGCCGGGATTGGCACAATTTGAGTCAGAGCCCTTCCGGGGTCCCCTAAAGCAAAATAGCATCTATCTGAAAGAAAATCTGTCATCCCCTTAGCCCTGAAGCACTTGGACCTCCTCAGGCGCTGGTTCAGCCCATCTCTTATTCCAGATTACTCTCAGCCTTGCCAGTACACCCCTCTGGGAAAGCTGAGACCAGTTTATACTACAGTGCTAATGACTCAGATCATTGCTGGGAGAAAATAGAAGAGGAAGAGACTCTAAGGTGATGGCTCAGGCATCAGCCTTGAAGATGTCTTTCTTTCTCTGGTGTTCCCTCCTGAGACCCCAACGAAGCACAGCAGAATGTCTGACTGGTCTGCCCACTGCCAGGGGACTTGGCCCCGGCCACCTTCAAGTAGAACCAGAGCCCATTCAAATGACACCACATGCAGCTTCGGTGCATGAAGTTGCTGGTATGGTGTGTGGCTCTCGGGCAGTGGAGCTGCCAGGAGGATGTGCCCAGGAGAAGGGAGTCTTCCCCTACCTCAGTGGGCTGGCCCTCATCACCATGGGGCCTCAGCATGGGGCGCTGTCACCCACCCAGCTGGCTCTCACCACACCCTCCACCCCGCCCCGTGAGAGCAGGAACTCCCCTGGCTGCAGCAGCAAAGCCCTGTGATCTGGGCAGCCTGGCCCCACCCCCCATTCCTCGGGCATCTGCTCCTCGAGGAGGAGCCTGGATGGTCAGGTCTCGCAGGACAAGTGGTCACAGGGAGCCTCCTGGGTTCCCATGACGCTTCCCCATTTAGAAACCGAGGTGCAACACGGGATGAGACAATAGGCAGAGAGCACAACAGATGAGCAGGGGCTGAAAAGACACAGCAGGCAGAAGCTGCAGCATTGTCCGGGGCAGGGGCTGAGGCTTCTGCCATCCACTCTGAAGTCAGTGTAGATTCAGAGCTGCTGCAGAGGCCCTGCTGGCCACACCCGCTGCTCTCCCGCAAAGCCCAAGGCCATGCTGAACCCAGGAACAGGAACGCGCTGGGGCTCCCCACAGAGCCCGTCCCAGCAGTCACTTTCATTCTCTTTATTCTGGACTGCACGTGTAACAGGTATTTGGGGCTCCCTGCTGTTTAACCGTAAGAGCACCAGGAGGACATTCCAGTTTCAGGAATTTCAAGCTCGGCCACAGCTGGCGGAGGCTGCAGCATCTGCCTGGCCTCTCCCTCCTCTGTATGGGGCCCTTGCTGTCTTGGAGGGGCACCTCTGGGTGTGGGGGTGTGGGAGCCCCGAGAGGACCGGCCCTCATGGCTCCACTGTGGGTCAGCTCAAGGCTCAGCTCCCACTGCGGGGCCCCAGGAAGTTTCCTTCTGTTTTGAAATTAGAAAAACAGTTTGAGTGTGGAGTTTTCTCAAGCCATGGGAACTGTGACTCCTCTCCCAGCCCCAAGTAGACAGGAGACAGGCACCTCCCTGCCCCGCAAGGGCCCCCAGATACAGAGCAAAGTCCGGGCCTCTGGGTACTTTGCCTTCGTGGGAGTCGGCTGGTGACACCGAGCCTGAGTTCTGGCCCCCACGAGTGAGGTGGACTGGGGCAGAGGGAAGCCCGCCAGGCTGAGGTCTAGTCTCAGGGTGGGTGCTAACGTGGCTGTATTACTTCACTCTTTGTCCCTGTGACTAAACACCTGAGAAACTCACCTGGAGGAGGAGAGGTTCATTTGGCTCAGTTTCAGGGGTTTCAGTGGATGACAAGCTGGCGCCTTTGTGTGGAGGTATGGTGGAGGAAAGCTGCTCATCTCGGGGCAGTCAGGAAACAGAAAGCAACAGAGCCAGAGAGAAAGGGCCCAGGGACCAGAGACTGCCCCACTCCCTCAGCTAGGTGCCACCCTCTGCACCCACCCACAAGGCCCAGCAGGGAAGGGGGCTGGTCTGCACACTCTGGGACATCAGGACAGTGCTGTGTGCAGGCCCCGCTGGTTAGGGTTGCAGCTCCTCCCGCATCTCCTGTGTTGCGGTGGACCCCTAGGGCTCCAGTTCCAATGGAAACCTCGCGCTGAGTCAGCATCCATCTTCGCTCCACAGCCCAACCCAGGCAGAGGGGTCGCAGCTGTCCTCCACCCCTCGGGGAGGCTGAAGGAGGGGCAGCCGAGGTCTGGCGCTTTCCCTGGAATCATGTGAAAGGCCCAGGCCCCATCCTCTCAGATCTTCATGGCCAGAAGATGAGAGGAGCTCCGAGACCCCTATGCCCGTCCCGCTGGGCTCGGGGCTCTGGGCTGGACACAGGGATGCATGTGCTCCAGGGTTCGGGGGGCACACAGGCACCCCATCTCTCCACCTGTATTCTCCACCCAGAACCAGGCACCCTGTGGCCAAAGTCAGCCCTGGAAGATGTTCCCTGCCTCCTGTGGGCTCATGTCGAAGTTCTCCAGCCTTACTGAGGGCCTGTGCTCTGCTTCCAGATGTAGTTGTCCAGCCCGAGCTCACCAGCAACAGTGCCGCTGCTTCCTGTCCTGTCCTGGGGCCTGTGCCAGCCCCCGGGGCCTGTCCTGGGGTGTCCCCATGTTCCATGTCCTTCCCTTTTGCCCCCCTTTGCCAGCTGCCCTGTGGGAAGGAGGGGATCTGCGGCCCACTGCTGCTCTTGCTATGGCTCCCACAGGGGGCCCCGTGACACCTGCTGCCGAGTGCACATGATCCAGCTGTCATGCTGGTCCCTTCCAGAAAAGGCTGGGCCCCTGGGCACTCCCTCGCCAGGCCTCTGTGGCAGGACAGCAGTTTGGGGCAGAGGCCACTGTTGTTTCCGGGGAGGGCCCAGGGTCAGGTCCCACAAGGCAGGCCAGCCGGGCACACTTGGCACATTCCAGGGCTGGCTGTAATTGCTGCAGCAGGCCTGGCCTGGCCTGGGGTTCACTCATGGGGCCTGAGGGCAGGACCAAGTGCTTGTGCTGTGTGGCCCAGAGCCGGGCCACGGGGCAGCCAGCCATGAGCCTGTGCAGGAGCCGCGTGGGCACCCCTGTCTGTGCTGCCGTGTCCTGCACCAGGACTGTGTGGACGGGCAGACCCTGGGCCAGCTGCACCCCCTGACAGAGGAGGCTGCAGAGGAGGAGACAGGAGCCACCTCACTTGCAAGGCCCTCTCTCCCTGGCATGGGCTCTGAGGAGCTGCTGCTGGCCTCCTTCTGCAACTGGCCCCTGACTGCCGGGGTTCAGCTTGAGCTACTGGCCGCTGCTGGCTTCTTCCACACAGGTGAGTCCTGGGTGGGAGAGTCCTTGCTGTTGAGGGCCAGGTGCCATGCCAGTCTCTTCCAGCCCCAGGACCCTGCCCATCCCATACAGGGGGTCTGACCTAACAAAGAGGGGCCACAGTCCCTCCCTGGCCACGCCCTGGTGCCTGCCCTGCAGGGGTCACTGTGAGGAGAGTCCATGTGTGCATGGTGGGGTGCGCTCCAGGGCTCCAGGGCTCCAGGGGTGTCCAGCAAATGGGGTCTTCGGGCTTGGCAGCTGTACATGGCTCGGGTGGGCCTGTAGGGACCATGTCCCGTGGCAGCAGAGGGTTGGGGGACAAAATCCAGATCTTGTGGGCAGTTTCCCCAGCTCTCACTGGGCTGGGACTTGGGTCTGACTGAACCAAGTCCCTCCAGAGCCCGTCTAGTCATGGGCTGGGCTGCTGCCTGCCCACACTGGGTGGCAGAATGGTCAGACTGGAATGGAGGTGCTGGCCCGGCCCCTTCCCAGCTTTGGGGCATGGTAGCAGCACCCAGGGGGTCCCTGTGCGGGGATCCATGTGTGGGTACTGTCTGCTGAGAGGCCAGGCTGGACGCTGGGTGGGAGGGTCAGGGGCTGGGACAGTCGGGAGCCAACTCAGCAAGGGCCCCTCAGGCCAGTGGGTGTAGGTGGGGGAGACGTGGGGTCTGTGGGCCCTGAGGTGTTTGCTGTGGGGCTGTGACCTTTGCTCTGGATGAGGTGGGGGCCACAGTGAGGGACTGGGACACCACGGGGGAGACAAGAGAGTGAGCCCCAAAATCCAAGCCTGGGGCCAGGATGGCATTTAGGAAACACTCCCTTCCCTCCCATCACCAGAAATCCATCCTGGAGACCCTGAAGTCACCGGGGGACCCCAAGGTCCCAGACTCCCAGGGCCCCTCAGACTGCTTGCTTTGTGAACAGCTCCAAGGCTAGCTCAACCCTTTTGTGAGCATTCTTCTGCCCTCCGGGCACGAGTCCCAGACCTTGTCCCCATTCCCCACTGAAACAAACGAGGTGCTGTCAGTCACACGCCAGGCCCCAGCCCACGCCAGGCAGGAGAGACCCCCACAGCGGCCAGGCCCCAGCCCACCCCAGCTCCTGCCGTCTTGCAGGCCCCCCAGGGTTGATGGCCTGGCGTCTGTGCCGCACACAGGTCAGCAGGACAGGGTGAGGTGCCTCTTCTGCTATGGGGCCCTGCAGAGCTGGGAGCATGGGGACGATCCCGGACCGAGCATACCAGGTGGTTCCCCAGGTAACCGTTGGGGTCTGAAGGCAGGGCTGGGGCTGGGAAAGGCCTCAGGGACCATCCGTCAGAGGGCAGCAGGCGTTCCCGCTGTCCACACCGGACCCCTCTCTGGAAGGGCTGAGGGGAAATTCTTCCCCACGTCTCCCATGATGCTCAGAGCCTGCCTCAAAACAGCCTTTGTGGCGAGCACCCGCAGACAGGAGCCCCACCTTCGCAGGCTCAGCCCCGGAGGGGCTCAGCCATAACCTTGGGCTTGAACTTACTTCTTCAGGTGCCAATTCCTGCTGCGGTCCAAAGGAAGGAGCTTCGTCCACCGTGTCCAAGAAGCCTGTCACCCTCTGCTCAGCTCCTGGGTGAGCCGTCTCTCCTGGGGCTCTGGTGGACAGTGACCCCACACAGCTTCTTACCCAAGGACCATGTCTCCTAATAGGGCCACTGGGAAGAACCGGAAGACTCGGTCCAGCCCCTGCTGCGCCCTCAGGTGAGAGACCTGATGCACAGCCCACGCTGTTTGCTTGGGTACCTGCAGCTGGACAGCTGGGGGCGTGGGGACCATGCCCATGCCCATGGGTGTCCAGGCCACAGGTGAGGCCACAGCACCCCCTCTTTTCCTCTGAGCAGGGCACCCCGGGCACCGGGTGTGCACCTGGCTGGTCTCATGGGGCAGCTGTGTCTCGGCCTCTGGAAGCTGGATGGACGGCCATCGAGAGCGGGTTATGTGGAAAATGCAGCTTTTAGACTTGCCCAGGGCCTTGCGGGGCAGGGGCTCTGAGGGGCTCCGGGGGACCCCAGGGGTCCTCCTCTTCTCCTCGCCAACACTGTGGCTGTGGGCGAGTGACTTTCTCCCTGTGCTTTGGTCCTGAGCTGTGAACGAAGAGCCACAACCCTCTTGGGATTGCACAGGCCTGTGGGATGCTTGGGTGAAGAGCCTGGAGGGCCTGTCTGTAGTGACCATGTGATTAATTTCAGGTTCTCGCATGGAGGTAGCCCCTCTGGGCAGAGGTTCTGGGCATGCAGCCCCTGTCTAAGAGGACCGGACCCTGCGCTGGGCCTCGCCAGATGGACCTCCAGGCAGGTGCCAACAGGGCGCAGGGGAAGGCCCTGCTCTCTGCTGCTTTCTGCCTTACAGATGCCGGGGGCAGCCAGGAGTGGTCAGCGTGGAATCAGTGCCCTGATGTCCACACCAGCACGTCCCTATCACAGCTAGTGGCTGACTTGCTTCAGCAAGAAGACAGGGACCGGGTGGCAAGGGCCAGAGGTGCTTCTACCCCTCAGGACACTGCCCACTGTCCCTCTCCTGGCCCAGCCCTCTGGGCACAGCCCATCATCTCCTCCCCAGCACACGGCATCTGTGGCTGCTGCCTAAGGGGCTGGATGGGCACAGCAACCCAACCAGAGGGACAGGCTCCTTGGTGACCATTCCAGAAAGCCTCCAGCCTCAGGCTTCTCACGCATGGAGGGAGCAAGAGCCCTCCAAAGTCATGTCATTCTGCTCTCCTGGTCAGAACTGGATCGTGCCAGCTGCCAGATCGGTCTGTGGGCCGGGGCTTGCTTTCTTCCCCAGGAGTGAGGCCTTGAGTCTGTTCCTAACTCCCCACAGCTCCTGTCCACGAGAGTCCTGAGCCACTCGCACCCAGGAGAGAGACAGCCTTGGGCCAAGGATTTAGCTCAGTGGTTTCGCTGCCTGCTGCGCAAGCACAAGGACCCGAGTTCGATCCCTGGTACGAAAAAAAAAAAAAAAGACTCAGCCTGAAGACAGCAGGGAGCCAGGTGCTGCCAAGGTCCCCCTGGGGCGGGGACTGGGGTGGGTCCACCCTCCCACAGCTCGGGCACCTCAGGAGGGAGGACACAGGGCCCCTGTGGGGGCTGTGGATCCCAGTCTCCTGCCCGCCACGCCTGTCCCCCTCGAGGAGGCAGCCGAGCCCAGCCCCTGAGCATGCTGGTGGGTTCTCAAGCCCCAGGAGCTGGGGACACGCAGGAACAGCTGCGGCGGCTGCAGGAGGAGAGGAGGTGCAAGGTGTGCTTGGACTGCTCCGGGTCGGTTGTCTTCGTGCCCTGCGGCCACCTGGTCTGCGCAGTGTGCCCCTAGCCTGCAGCTGTGCCCCATCTGCAGGGCACCTGACCGCAGCTGTGTGCACACCTTCCTGTACTAGGCCAGGTGAGCGCCTCCTGCAGGCCTGGATGTGACCTGAGCAGTCCAGATTCCTGTTCTCAACCAGAACAGAACTTCCTGTTCCTACCCTTCCTCTCAATGCAGAGGTCCAGCTCTAAGCCTCAGCTCGGCCCCAGCAGTGACCAGGGGCTGACACCTCCTGCCCACCTGGGCCTCCAGGTCCAGGGGTCAGCCAGGCCAAGGGGAAGTGTGCAGGGGAACAGAGAGCGAGACCTGCACCCCAGAGCTCAGTAGGGCCTGCTGGGAATCCACGGATGGGGTACAACGGCCTGTAACTGCAGAAGTGGCTGGAGACCCCTGTATTTGTTGAGGGACAGAAGCCATGGCCTTCTTGGTGTACTCAAAAAGCAGTGTGCCCTTGAGGATTTCCTGAGGGAACAAAGTGACAGTTCAGGGAGCTCCCTGGAGCCTGAGGGGAGCCTGGATTCACTGGGGCTTCTGCTCTCCCTCCAGGTGCTGTGGCTGGCCAGACAGACCCCCAGCTGGGTACCCTGGGGGCCTCAGCCTGTCCCAGACGCACAAGGTATCTGCTGAAGAAGCAGAGTGGTCATCCACCACTGCCCAGCCCTGATTCCAGGACCTGCTAGGCCTGGGGAGAGGCTTTACTGCAGCTGCTTGGGCGTGTGTGTGTGTGTGTGTGTGTGTGTGTGTGTGTTTTACTGAGGGTTGAACCTAGGGCCTTTGCACTGAGCTACACCCTCAATCCTTTTTGAAAAAACTTAAAATTTGGAGACAGGATCTTGCGAAGTCACTGAGTTGCCCAGACTGGGGTGGAACTGTGATCCTTCCACCTGGGGTTACAGGTGCGTGCCTCCCAGCCTGGCTTGTTTGGGTACTTGTGAAAATAAATAAAGATGCTCTGGATGCTGCTCAGCTCTGGGTGTTCCAGAACCCAGATGTCACCCGCCTCGGCTCCCCGCTTCTCAGCAGCAGGGCAGCACCGCCCACCAAGGCCACTTCCCAAAGCTTTCCTCGCTTCCTGCTTCCCTCCACTCCCTTCCCCTGTCCTGTAGCTTCTGCAATCCAGACTTGTAGAACAGGCTGGGTTGCCCTCAGGCACCTTCCGAGACCCTCCTTCCAACAACCCACTGAGCTCCACACCTCAGAGAAGGATGGGCCATGGGCCACGTCCTTTTCATTTAGTTCCTCGTGGATACCTTCAGGACTATTTGCCCAAGGTCCCTCTTTCTGAACAGTGCCACCCACTGTCATAAGAGCCTCACACTGTGCGGTCGCCCCAGTGCCCCCTTGCTTGGCCCATAGCTTGGGGGGAGTAGGGGCTCCTAGTTGAGCACCAGGGGCTTCATCAAACTTGATTCCTGTGGGGCCAGGGTTTTGCCAGGGTGAATGCTCAAGGCGAGGCAGTGCAGTGTCCAATCAAGGCCTTGAAGGGTCAGAGTGGCTTATGTGGACTTCCTGGTGGGGCTGTCCCTCCCCTGGCAGCAGAGCTATGGCCTGTGGCTCCAGCCACCCCAGGGCATGACACCAAGGAGCAAGCTCCTCATCCTCCTCCTCAGAAAACAGCTCAGACCTGCTGTGGATGGAGCTGACATCCCAGCGCTGCCCAAGGAGACTGGGAATGTGGTTTTCTTCATTTTGTTTTGTGTCTTCTCTCTCTCTGTCTCATAAGCTCTTTCCCAGGGGCAGCCAGCCCTGGCCTGGCCCTGCTGCCTGGCTGGTCCCAAGATGACATGAGCAGGCCCTGGTGGTCACCTATAGAGTGCAGGGCAGGCAGGAGGCAGCAGTGTCCCAGGGCTGAGGGAAGGCGTCGCTGGCAGTTGCTGAAGTTGGAGGTCCCAGGAGTGGGGTCAGATGCCATCTCACTTACGCAGGCCTGCAGGCAAAGCGAGAGTCAGAGAGGCTCTAGCCAGAAGGAAGGGCTGCATCCCCTCCTCTGGAGAACCTGAAATGCAAATGGTTTCCTGGTCTTTGGCAAAAGGAGGCCAAGGGTGGGGAGCTGGGCTCCTGCTTCCCCCGGGCAGGCTAGGGTCTGAATTTCTGCTGACTCCAACCACAGACATCTCAACAGGGCCTGGGTGAAAGGCTTGGGCCACCCAGGCTCCCTGCTGTAGGAAAACCCAGGTCCAGACAGGCACCCACCCCTCCACCCATGCCCAGTGCTGCAGCTACCCTCACTCCCCTCTCCCTCCAAGGTCTTTACTTCCTCATTCGTTTGTCCTGGGAGCTGGACTCCGGCTACCTCTGTTGACCCTTGGCCGTGGCAGGCCTTTACTCACAGGAAGGCTGGAGGCTGCCGAGAGGGCAGCCAGGGGATGCCACAGAGGGCTTGGGCAGCTGGGAGAGGGCCACACTCCCGACAGAAGAACCACCAGACACCTCTACTGACCCCAAAATCTAGACCTTCTCTGACAGAGCTGTGTGGCCAAGCCTACATCAGAGAGTGGGCTGGGAGCCTGCCACCCCACCCAGAGGCCGAGGTCTGCAGAGCCACAAGCAGACCTTCTAGAAAAGAAGTCTGGTGCTCCAAAGGTGGGACCAATGTTCCCTGCACTGGCAAAGCCCCTGGAGAGTCACTCGGTCACACTCCTACCTAGGAAGCGACCTGCCTGTCACTCACCACCCCCTACACCAGGACCTGGGACCCAACCCCAGCGACTGTGTCACTGCTGCTGCCAAGCTTAGGAAGGACTGAGTCCTGGGGCTTCCTGGTAACTAGTCCTGGTCACCAACTCAGTCCTGGTTACTAACTAACTCAGCCAGACATGAGGTTGATCTTAGAAAGGGGAGGCAGGTGAATGGCAGATGGATGGATGGATGGGCAGACAGACAGACAGATGCCTGACAAGACCACTCAAGGAGAGAAGCCTCATGCTATGAGAGCCCCATCGGTTGACCAGCTGCAGAGCAGGCTCAGCGGGCCATACTTACAATGTGGCTGCTTGCACAAGAGGTTGGATGGCTTTTCATTAACATGGTACAGAGGAGATGGATCAAATCCACCAATGAAATCAACTGAAAGAAATCAAGACCCAAATAAAAGAAAACCCCAACGATGGAAAAGAGGGCAGAACAGAAAGCAAGCCTGATAGCAAACCCCCCACCTGGGCAACAGGGAGTTCCATGGTGAGGGAGGGCAGGCACCAGCCCAAACCAGCCCCAGGTCTGACCTCAGACCCTGGGAGGACTCCGTGGGCATTGGTCATGTGATTTCCTCCAGCGGGGGACAGGGAGGACAGCCAGGATGGGCCTGCACCTCACCTGCCAGGCTCCTCCAGACAGCCTGACCTCACATCCACAGATGCAGTCGCCTGCCTGCCCCTGAAGGCCTCTTGCCCCATAGACAGTGGCAAGGACTTACTGAGCAAAGTCAGTGCACTCTGAACCCAAGGTCAAAGCTTGTCTTGAAATGTGCTTAGCGCCATCAGCATGCAGGCTCGCTTTGCTTCCTCCCTGATGGCCAGCTGTGCTCTGCTGGGCTAGGCAGCGCAGGGGCTGAAGGGTGCTGGGCAGAGTCAACCACCCTAATCCCAGGCATAGAACACTCTGGATTTCCATTCTGACCCTGGCAAAGGTTCTGTCCACAGGGGCTGCAGGCCTGTGGGTGCCCAGACATGGCCTGGGCTCTGCGACCCTGGCCCCCGACTCTTCTCTGCAGGTTCCTCCTGAGATGCAGGCATTACCATATCACGTTGCAAATGGGAAGCTAACAGGGGCTCACAAGGGGAGGGAAAAGAAAAATGATGCACCCCAGTGGGCCTCCCCATACTAAGGGCCTGATGTGAACATCTATAGCCAGCAGGACAAGTGGCTTGTGCCACTGAGGGCTTAGACCTTCCTCTCGGGGAGACTGAGCATCCTGAGGACAGGCCTGGCCCCAGAGGACAGCAGCCCTTGAACCGGAGATGGCTGAGCTCTGGAGCCCACAGTGCAGAGCCTTCCTCTCTCCTGAGGTCTCAGACTGTCCCCTCTCCGCTCAGGCGTGTGGCAGGGAGCGAGGCCCCCACTGGCATGGAGACTGCTGGAAGGAGGTCTCAGGACCTACAGGACACAGCCTAGAGCTGCACCTGGCTGCTTCCTCCCACCCACCCTCAAAGGCCTGGCTGTGGCCCAAACGGTGTCAGCAGGAGGCTGTGGCTGCACTTACAGCTGTCCTCTTGCTCTGAAAGCACGCTGATCACGTAGGAGCTGCAGACGAAGCCCAGGAGCTGGAGAACACCAAGAGGCGGGGTGAGCGTGCTGGGCATGCTCAGCGGAGTGCCACCGCAGGCATGTGGGGGGCACCCCCTTAGTCCCTGAGCACCAAGGCCCTGCTCCTCCTGGGCCTGTTTCTTCCTCTGTGAAATGGAACAGCAGACGGACCTGCATGGCTCCTGGGTTCCCAGCCTTGGGCAGCATCTGCTTCTCTCCCTGACCCACTCGGTAAGGATGACAGGGTGCCCTGCACACACACAGGCCAGGCAGGAACGGCTTGAGGGGCTACTCCAAGCATGGCCGTTGATCCACTTGGCCTCGGAGGAGAGGGACACAGTCAGGCTAACAAGCAAAGCAGGGGGCACCAGAACCTGGTGTCACACAGGACAACAAGCTGCATGGCACCACCTCAGCTGACCAGGTCTCCCCAGCGGGAACCTCAAAGGCTGCCTCGGCCCTGCTGTCGTGAGAGCAGCAGACAGCCTTTCCCACAGAACGTGGATGCTCTGAGACAGCCCAGGGCAGGCAAGGCCGCGCCCAGGCCAGACCCAGAAGCTCGGGCTTGCACACTCCAGGGCCATGGGCCCAAGGGCTGCCTCTCCTTTCACAGCCTGTGACCTGCTCCTGGCCCCAGGAGCCTGGCTAGCAGTGTGCACAGATGCAGTTTCTGATGGGTTGGGCTGTGGGGAGCCCAGCAGGAAACTGGAGGGAGGGAGATGCAGGCCACTTCCCTACGCCAGCCCCTGCCCAGCTCAGACCCTGGTGCTGGTGACTCACGGTGCCCATCAGGCCCTGAGGAGGGTGCCGAGGCCTGCAGGCATGGTTTGTCTCACTGCGGCCCCAACTGACTCAGGATACAAGAGGTGTTTTAAGGGGCACTGGCTGGGGAGAGGATATGGGGGTCTTGGAAAGGCAGAGGTGTCCTCCTGGAGGCCCCACAGCCGAGGAGGGGCCTGCCTGGCAAGAATGCAGAAGGTGACCACACTGGGGACCGCGTGGTTGAGGGCCATCAGGAGGAAGCAGGACTCCTGGGTGCAGATCTGGCCCTTCCACATGGTCTTGGGGATTCGCTGGCAGTCTTGGGGGCTACAGCAACTGCAGCACCAGGAGCACTGGGCCAGACCACTGAGGTCACACTGGGCCAGACCACTGAGGACCACTGTTGCTCGCTTCATCCCCCAGGTCTGACCACGGCCAGACTGTCCTCAGGACTGCAGCTCAGTTAGAGGGAGACCAGGGCCAGCGCCAGTCCCACTGAGCGCCAGGAATCCAGCCTTGCTTTCTCCCCAAGCAGATGAGAACTTCTGGGCTGATGTCCCCAAGCCCCTGCACCTCCAGGAGTAGGAAGCTCCGCACCCATCAGAGCAGGCCCAGTCACCAGGCCTCTTTAGGAACTGATGACGCTGCCAGCAGGACTCACTCCACTGCCACACTGGCCGGCCTGGGGTCTCCACCTCTTTCCTAGCCCCACTGACACCTCCTTGGAGGTGGCCAGGCTGCACCCCTGCCCTCACTGCCTCTGGAGCAGGACACAGGAGTCTCCACAAGGATGCCCAGGGCTGCTGTCTCAGGCCTGCCTCTCTTCTACAGCACCATCGGGAGGGGCTGGGGGTGAAGGCCTGTGGTGCGAGCCCAGCTGGGAAGCCTGTAATTCCCTGACCTGTAGGGAGGAGGAGGAGGCTTTCACCCCAGCCAAGAGAAAGGCTGGTTCCTGGGCCCACAGCAGAGGCTCCTGGGGCAGGAGGAGGCCCCCACCCCACATGCCCACTCCCTCTGCCCACTCACTGCCACCAGGATCTGCAGGCCACTGTGCAGGGCCTCCATGAGGCTGGCTCTAGGGCACAGCCAGCACCCGACAGCAGCGCCTGGCCATGCAGGGCCCTGAGGCCAGCTGAGGACACCCCCTCAGGCAGACAGCCTGGCCCGTGCTCCTACCACCAGGAGCGGTGCTGGGAGAGGTTGAAGGTCAGGAGCTCACTGTCCTGGGGACAAGAGACCAGGACAGGTCAGCACGGGGAGGCAGCCAGTGCCCACCCACAGCCTGCATGGAAGAGGGGAAGGGTGGCCTGTTCTCCCCCTACCCCTCGGGCTCCAGTCTCAGCCCTCACACCAGGACTGGCTGTCACGGTGATCCAGCCCCAACTCTGCCTCCAGCCAGAGCTGGCCCTTTATGTGTGTTTGGCCTCCTCAGTGTCCCCCTCTGCAGCTCCAGTGTGGCCCCATAAACCAGGGCTGGTCTGTCCTGCTGGGCATCTGTATTGGCACCAGTCAGAGCAGAGAGCAGCAGGAACCCCATGCCACCCCAACCCCAGGGCCACGTGCAAAGTGCCTGGGGCAGCTGGCTACCAACACTGGCTTCGTGGGCCCTGAGGTTTGCCCAAGCGGCCTAGCACAGGCCAAGGCAGAGGACGCATGTGGTTATGGAGGTGGGGTCTCCACTCTGCCTGCACCCTGGCCCGGCCCAGCCCTGCCAGGCTGGCCTCTCCCCACCTGAACTGCCTGGGCTCCAGGGTCCCTCTTCCAGGGAGCCTTCGTGCTGTGCTCTGCAGCTGGAGCCCCACCCACTGACACCCACGGCACCCTGACGACACCTTACTGACCCACACGTCACTTCCCTGATGTCCCGCTTTGCTAGCCACCGATTGACCAGGGTGGCCCAGTGCTGGGGACAGAGCGGAGCACTGACAGAGGCCCCACCCCCAAGGGGAGACACACGAACGCACACGCACATTTAGGGTTACGTGGTACGTGGTCAGGGGTTCCCACATAGGCCTGTTTGCGGACCCCTCCTGTCTTGACTCACCCTGGAGAGGCCCCCCACTTCCAGGTAGAAGCAGATAATGCAGACGTTCCAGGTGACCCAGGCGGCTGCCCACACGCTGTGCTATGGAGATGAGAGAGGAGTGGGAAGGAGTCAAGCCCAGCAGTTTGGGGACTTGCTTTTGCATGGCCCCTCGGAGAAGATCCACAGCAGGCTCTGGGCTCCTCGAGTCCGACAGCCCCGGGATGCTCAGCTCAGAGGAGATTGCCTCAAGCCCACCCTGGGCAGACCTCCACTGCCGCCCAAGAGTGCGCGGAATTCTGCTCCCACCGAGGCACAGGACGTGTGACCCACTGCAGGGAGCCGGCCTGCATCCTACCCAGAGTGCCCTGTCCACCTGCAGTGGACAAACGGCCGCAAACGGGCTGCCTCGACTGCAGAGCACACAGAGGGTTGCCAAAGAGCTGCCTGCCTCTCCAGGGGACGTTTCCTCAGCATACAGCCTTTTGTCCAGTGCTGCTTGGGCGAGGTGTGTGGCCCACACTGCTGAGCAGCACCGCCAGGCCCTCTCAGGAAAGCCTGATGCGGACCTGCCCCCAACCACCATCTGTCTGCACCAACAGAGTGCCGACGACCCCAGCCAAGCCTCTGCTCAGAGGTAGGCCAAGCAAGGTGCAAGGCTGCTTATGCTGGCACCACAGCTGCCTCCGGCCCCTGGGCAGGTGCTCAGTGCCGCAGTATCCCAGGCTGGGAGGTAGGGATCCCAACAGCACCCACATCCCCAGCTACATGACAGTGTTAAGTGCCTGGGCTCCCTGATGCATGAGGCTGCTCCTGGAAGCAGCCCTCGGAAGTGCCATGTCGTCCAAGTCAGAATTCTAGACGTCTGGGCTGGGGAAAGTCCAGACCCAGGGTCTGGATCAACATGTGTTCTGGTGGGCTCGAGGGCACTGACCGTGTTGTGGGACACCCGTCCTGGCCACCCACTCACATGGACTCACCACCACGATGTAGCACGGCTGGATGGTGCCAAAGAGCCCCAGAATGACCACGACGATATGGACAAAGTTGGCCAGGATGGGTCACTGGTAGCCCAGGAAGTCGAATGCCTCCCTTTCCAGGATGGTGACCTAGAAGCAGGAGGGGAGTGAAGGCCGGCAGACCCTGAGGGAGGCCCCAAACCTACCCACCAGGCCTCAGTCCAGGAGCAGGCTGGGACTTGACTCTCCTAACTGCTCCCTATGGCTCTATTAGAAGAGCTGTGCCAGGCGAGCCACAAACTCCTGCTTAATTGTCACCGTGAAGCAGGCCTGGAGGACTTACTCCTTGTCCCTTCCAACAAAAATCTCCAAGTAAAGTCAGGCATAGAGGCATAAGCCTATAACTTCATCACTCAGAAGGCTGAGGCTGAAGGATCCCCACATGTTCAAGGCCAGCACAGACTCCATAGTGAGACCCTGTCTCAAAGATAAAGAAACAAAAAAACTAAACCAAACCAACAAAAAAACTCCAAATAAGTATGTCAGGCCCTGAATGTCACCAAGGGATGTTCTCCCTGGAGCACCCCGCCCATTCTAACTAGCAGGTGGCAGGGGCAAATAAACAGGAAGCACCAGCCCAAAAATGCCACTCAGGCACTCTAGTGGCAGATGAGACCCTGAATCTGCAGAGGGTGCTAGGCCCACTGTTTCCAGGCAAGTGGCCTCTCCCACTTGCCAGCTCTGTAGCTGCCTTGGGGATAGCGGCAAGTGAGGCGCTCCATAGACCAGCAGGCTGGCTGAACCTCCACTTCGGGGACACTTGGAGACCTGGAGACCTTTGGCTCTGGATATACCACCTGCCAGGGAGGCAGACAGAGGGACCAAGGGGAGGGGATGAAGGAACCCAAAGACTCTAACGTTTTGTACCCAGAGGAGACAAACTGACTAAGCAAAGCCAGGACTCTGAAGCATCCATCTATCTAACCAACCATCCATCCATCCATCCACTCATTCGCCCCTTCATTCATCCATCCATCCACCCATCCATCCATTCATCCACCCAACCATCCACTCACTCATTCACCCATTCATTCATCCATCCATCCACTCATTCGCCCATTCATTCATCCATCCATCCACCCATCCACCCATCCATCCACCCATCCATCCACTCACTCATTCACCCATTCATTCATCCATCCATCCATCCACTCATTCACCCATTCATTCATCCATCCAGCCATCCATCCACCCACCCATCCATCCACTCACTCATCCATTCATTCATCCATCCATCCATTCACTCACTCACCCATTCATTCACCCATCCATCCACCCATCCATCCATCCATCCATCCGTCCACTCATTCACTCATCCATTCATCCATCTTTCACCAGACTCCCCAACCATGAGCTGGAGCAGACGAAGCAAGAGACAACACAGCCAGATCCACCTTCCTGGGAGGCAGAGCTGCCACATTTGTGACAAGAAAGGTGTGTCCAGCAAGGGCTAGAAGGGGCTGGCCACATCCTGGAGGGACAGCAGGGCCAAGGGCAGCATTCTCCAGGTGTCCTGGGACCCCAGGTCCAGTGCTACCCAGCACCAAGAAGGCTAAGGAGATGGTCTCCAACCCAGCACAACCTGAGGGCCCCCACACTGGATGGGCTGAGACCCAGCACTGGGCCAAGCTGGGTGGGTAGCTGGCACAGGGGAAGTGCAGAGGTGAGGGGCGGCCTCCGTCTCTCACATGGCCTCGTGGCACTGATGGGAGAGGGAGCTGCCCAGTCACAGGGTCAGCAGGCCACAGACACCCACCCTAAGCAGAACACTGGTCCTTTCCTGCCCAGCTTCTGGCCACAGTTCTGGGGCTGTGTCCTCCAGCCCCAGGAAACAGCTGTCGTGGGGACTCCCCTGGCCATAGCCCATGGCCCAAGGGCACGGCGGCTATTTGCAGGAAGTCTCGGGAGGGAGCCATTCCAAGCGCGTCCTACAGGGCCTGGGTTTCCCAGGCTGACAGCTGGAGGGCCTGCTGTGTGGAAAGGCAGGGTCAGCACCAGGGACCTTCCAGGGGACTCAGCGGATGCCCCACCCACCCATCACAAAGTACTCAAACCCACGCACCCCATCCTTGCCTCTGGTCCTGGCTGTCAGTGGGCAGAACCTCTGCTCACACAGGTTCCCAAGGCTGAAGGCACCCCTCATGCTAGCCCTCCCCAGTTCAGAACAAACCCTGGGGGTGCACAGCACAGCGGGAGCAGCCCCCGAGGGCCAACACTGTGTTCGCTCCTTAGTTCAGTGCCAGCCAAGCAGAGCTGGGAGGCAGTGCCTTCCCGGGCCTGGCAGGACCTCGTCCCTGTTCCACCCACGTTGCTGCCCCTGCCCAGTACATCTTGGGTGGGTCTGTGCTCCAGCAGCTCTGCCCCCGCCCATGGAAGCTTTTACCAGGCCTGACTCTGGGCTGCTGTGAGGCAGCAGTGATGGGAAACTGGGTGATCGAGACCGTGGGCCACACACAGCAGGTGCTCAGTGAATGCTAGAAGCACCCCGGCTGGTGGAGCAGCTGCAGGGAGTGGGGAGTGGGTCCTCCCTCTGCCCTCCACTCCTACAGCACCCAAGGTTCAGCCACGTGGCCTCAGGGCAGGCTGACTGCTGGATGGAGCCCCGGAGCCCCACCCAGGGAGGGGAGAGGGGACCGCCTTCTGAGGGACAGGGAGTCGGCGCCCCAGCCTCCCAGTGAAGCCTGCTGCGCCCTTCCTCAAAGCCTCAGTAGTGTGAGGGATGGGGCGGTAGATGGGGGCCATGTCCGGAGGGCAAGTGGTCACTCCCCTCCAGTAGTCTCTTTCAAGCACAAGTCACTCAAAGTCATGACCTCACTTTGGGGGCAGAAGCCACCCTGGGGAGTGGGACTCAGGCGGGACGGAAAGGTAGGGTGGCTCCAAGAGGCCTCTCTGTCTGTTCATCCCAGAGAGCACCCAGGATGACAGGACCAGGGGGAGAATGGTCCCCAGGAAGCCCCAGCGGCTCCTCCAGAAGACGCTGGAGCTCTGGGGTCAACTAATGCTAACCTAAGTACCCCACATGAGGAAAGGTGCTGGCTGAGGCAAAGGGCACCTCTGCAGGCCTTGGCCACTCGCTCCAGCCGGCTGATGGTCACTGAGCCTTGAGCAGGGACTGGGCGCCATGGATTGCCTTTCAGAGATGGTTCAGGCCTGTTCTGCGCTCAGCTGGGTCTGGGAGTCCTGCAGCTGCTGAGAGGCCTCAGTCCTCCCACTCACCCGCCACGGTCCATTCACGGGTAGGACCCAGAACAGCTCGGATGAGAGCCCCACCTGGACCCTGGGCTCCCCAGACAGGGCCCTGGCAGCTCTGGGACCAGGGACTTTGATCTGGGTGGGGTGGGTGCTCAGCAGGCCCAAGACCACCAATGTGGGGGCCAACTGAGCAAGGGAGTCACTGCCTGGAATGTGGTCCTGGGTCCTGGCCACTTGAGGGGAAGTGCAGCTGGGGCCTCCCTGGGAAGCAGCCGGGTCCCCTGTGATGGGCCTTGCAGACTGCGCCCTGGGCACAGTCTTAGCCTAGCCTGGCCTTGACCCAGAGTCCTTGTACAATGAGCTCTCACGGAGCAGGCAGCACTAAGGCTTTACCCCCTGGGGACAGCCCTGCACCCCACGTCCACCCCTACCATGCTGCCCACCCACATCTCAGCCAAGCTGATCCCTCTCAGCCCCTCATGGCCGCCACCCCTAGCCACTGCCCTGGGAAGGCCCAGCTGCTCTGGCTCCCTGTCCTGCCAGGACAGCCCCAGCCCTCACTCCAGCTGTGGGTCACCCCTCTCTTGGGCTGGTAGCTCTGGTCTCCAGCCAGGGACACCATTCCTGTCAGGCAGGGTCCCACCTCCCTCACTGACCTGGGCACCTCAGCCAGTCATCCCTGCTTGGCCTGGGGTCTCGCTGCCCCACCTCCTGGCTGTTCTCTGGGCCCTTGATGGGCCCAAATGTTCCTGATGTGAAGGACAAGCCAAGCCCATGCACGATGGACTCGTGGAGTGACTAACGTCCACCTGCAGAGCTCCTCTCGAGGCCAGTGTGCCAGCGCCTGCCCTTCCATGTGCTGTCTAGCATCTGTGCCAGGAGGACACCACCGAGCAGCAGTGACCAGAGGTGGAGCTTCCCAACATGCACCCCTTGGGAGGTGACAGTCCACAGCTCTGATGTCCTAGTGCAGGCTCTCAGTGGCCTGACCCACGGCACGGGAAAAGGCCCAGAGCTGGTAGGGTGTCCAGGTTCTGAGTTCTGTTTCAAGGCCAGGCCAGAGGGACAGAGAGGTCACCTCAGGACAGCCACACAGACAAGGCAGCGGCCTGGGACTCCAGGGCCCTTGCCCTGCATGCCCTGACCCTGGCTTTCTGGGAGGAAGCCTCAGAAGGCAGTGAACATTGCAGCCACAGCGCAGAGGCCAGGAGGCCTCGACAGCCACGGACTGTCACTGCCACAGGAAACAAAAGAAACGGAGCATTTCAAAGGGGTCCGAGCCTGCAGATTCCCAGGGCTGTTAGGAGGACACTTAGGACCTGCAACATCACCATCGCACACAGCCAGTGGCTTCTACCGTGGGCCCACGACAGCAGCGACAGCAAGTGTCCCCCACGCCCACCTGGGGAGTCACAGTGACCTAAGTGCTGGCTTGTTTCACATCACCCCAAGTGGCACTGACAGGGGGCAGACGCCTCATTGCTTCCTGGCCCAGAATGAGCTTCAAACATCAGGACCACCCTCCCTGAGGGCAGGGCTCAGCTGGCCTCTTCCCCACCTGGCCCCCTGTGGCCAGAGGAGGCCTGCACATAGAAGTTTTTCGATTACACACATTTTGGGCAAAGAAAACAGCATCTGAGAGCAGAGGCCCGGCCTCTCCCTGCCTCTTCGAGCTCGAGCCTGCAAAGCAACAGTGAGCAGGGAGGGCTCGGCCTGGAGCCCTCGGTGGCCTCACATGGACGGGCAGCACTGTGCTGCTGAGAAGTCAGAGCCCAGCAATCCCAGGGAGGTTCTGCAGGCCCAGATGGGTGTGGCTCAGATAGAATCCAGGACACAGGTGTGCCGGGGGTAGGGGTGTGGGGTGCCAGGTGGAGGGATGAGTGTGAGCAAAGATCTGGGGTAGGTGGGGGAGGAGACGGCACTCAGGGCGCTCAGGGGACCTGCACACGTGTCAGCTGACCAGCCCCGAGTCCCAGAGCACCTCTCCCTGCCCAGCAGCCTTTACTCACTGTGTGGGGGTGTGTGCTCTGGCCGTCCCCCACCAGAAGGAACAGAGGACGGGAAGATGACTCTGGTTCCCCTGGCATTGTCAGATGAGGCCCTGGCTGAGGGCTGGGACCTAGGACTGGCGGCACGGCTTGGGCTGAGGAGCAGCCTGGGGGTGTCCTGGCAGTGGGGGTGGGAGCTGGGTCCTTCCCATCACTCCATGGTGCTGCGGCCACATTAACGAGGCCGAGTCTCTCACTGTGAAGACAGGTGATGGAGATCTGCAGCCCTGCCAGGACCCAGCCCCAAAGCCCTTCGTGGGCAGGTAGCCCTGGGAACAGCCTGAGCATGCCCGAATGGCCCAGAAAGGTGAAGTTCACCGTGTTCTTCAGGGAGAGATGCTTGGGCCCTTTGCCCTGTTACTTGGTAACAAGAAAACTCACGCTTGTTCAAAAAAGAGAGTGCCTCAGGACACACACCCCCCAGCTTTCCCTGGGCCCCCCACTCCCATGCAGCAGCCAGAGTGGTGGGTGGCAGCAGGCCTCTTCCTCCCTGAGGCAGGGGAAGGATGAGTGGATGGCCCCCAGCTGCCGGCCGGGCCAGAACAAAAAGCCTTTGACAGCTCCTCGTTGCAGTTTAGCCCTGGGCATGCAACAAGGGGACACAGCTCTGCCCAGGCCCTGGACTTGCCTGGCTGAGAGTGAGCCTGGTAGCTGCCGTCCTCCAGCAAAGCCCTGTGCCCTCAAGCCAAGATGGCCCTTCCCTTTTCGGGGCAACCAAATTTCCAAGGGCCTGTCCAGGAGCCCTGTCTGCCCACGGTCCACAGAAGATGAAACGGGCACTGTGGCCTGACCTGACCCCTCCACACCCGAGGCCACATCCTTCCCCAGCTCATATAACCAGAACACCTGTTTCTCCTGCCTGTACCCCAGCCCACATATCCACCCCCAAGTGTATCTTTAGTCCAAATGCAGCAGAGAAACCAGTTGCCAACCCCCCCGCCGGCTGCGCTTCCTCTCCCCTAGACTGGCTGCAGACTCCGCGCCCCAGCAGCAGGTCCTTCTCCCAGGTCTGTAGCCAGGCCTCTGAGCCCTTCCTTCCCGGGGGCCTGTCGAGGGAGCGCTCCCATAAAGACAGAGACAGGACTGCTCCACAGCCTGCCAGACCCCACATCCCGACACCAGGCAGCCCCTCCTTCCTGGGGGGGTGACTCACTGCCTGTGCTGCCCCAGACTGTACAGCCAGGCGAGCCCAAGTTTCTCTTGAAAACTTCTTAGAAACATCCGCTCTTCCTGTGCTGGTCCTCCAGCTTCGGAAGGGGAAGGGCGAACAGGCACCTGGTCCAGCTGAGCCCGTGGCCCAGTCTAGAAGACAACAAAGCAGCATTTCCTTTTAAAGACTGGAGATCCAGGGCTCATTAGCATCTAAGCGAAGGCCTGCCCAACCTTTGTTCAGCACCCTGCTCCAGGGCGGCCCAGAGCACTCATTCTGGGCGACCGGGGGATCCTGACTCTAGGGCCCTGGAAAGTTGGCGGAGGGACACCCAAGCACCCAGACGGAGCTCTGCACCCAGGGGCCTGCTTGTCCCCACGCATAAAAGTGTGAGCACGGACCCGGGCAGCGGGGTTCCCACTCTCCCACCTTCTCTCCAGGCCAGGGTGAACGGACGGGCAGGGCCCTCAGGGCCCTCCCCCTCCCGAGCGCGCCCCATCCTCGTTTGTCACCGACTCGGAACTTTGCGACCCTCTCTGCGCCCGGTGCTCCTTCGCCGACTCTCCTCTCGCACTCGGCCACACGCGCCTTTGGACACGCCTGGACACGGCCCGCAAGAGTCCCTGCCTGACCGCGCCGCGCCCACGGGACTTGCTGCCACAGGCCGCCGAGGTCGCCCCTGCTGAGTGGCTTTTGTTCCGGACAGGGCCCAGTACCCGTCCAGGCTCAGGACGCCGCGCCCCGCGCACACCCAGCCGGGGGCGCGCACAGGGCCTGCTCCTCACTCCCCACGCGGTGCCGGCGTCTGCCCAGGAGCTGGGCTCCGAACCGTCTACCCCCGAGCTTCCCGAGGCTGGCGTGGAACCGCCGGCCGGGCCTGGCGCTCACCCGCTGCAGAGCGCAGAGCGCTAGGAGCGCGCAGCGGCCAGAGCAGGAGCCCGTGGTGTCCGCGGGCGCCGCCGCTGCCAGTGTGGGCCAGAGCCCGGCCTGCAGCCGTTGCCCCGCTGACGGCTGCGCAGTGCCTCTCGCCCCCTCCTGCCCCGGCAGCCTCGGGGGCTCGCCCCTTAAAGCGGCGATGGAGTCCGGAGTCCGCAGTGGCGGTGGCCCTGGCTCGGGCAACCCCCGGCCCGGGACCTGAGTCTGCCGGGCCTCCAGGAGGACCCCGCCTCATCCCGCCCCGCACCCCCTCCGCGGGCGTTTTCACTGGGAAAGTCTCAGAGACACCTGGGCGTGGAGAGGTCCCGACCCCCGGGTAAGGGCTCACCTGCTGGGAAGGTCGGTGCCGAAGGAAAGCCAGGTCTGATCGGACCGGGACCTGCGCGCTGGGACTGGGGAGGCGGGTACTGTGTGCACAGGAGGACTGCGCCGCCCAGAGGCTGGTGGTGGGGCTGAGGCACGTGTGGGCCGAGACCGGGAGCCTGGGCTCTCGTCAGGCTAAGACTTCACTGCCGTCAGAGGGAGGCGATCAGGCCGTCCTGGGCGGAAGAGCCCATGCTGGAGGCAGAAGATGGACCCAGCCAAGCCCAGAGGAGCCAACCCAAGCTCAGCTGCCCACTGTGGACAGAGGACATCTGCGGGTGGGAAGGAGAAGGCCCAGCCAGGTGATCCGGTCCGGGCTGGCTCCTGCTGGAGAGCAGCACTTCACCCTCCGCCCTGGAGCACTGTGCTCGCCTTGAGCCATCACCGGGATGTGCAGGCAGGGGACGTCCCTCCTCCACACACTGACCTGCAGTCACCACTGGCCTCTTCTGGGGGGAGTGACCTGAGGCAGCTCCCAGAGGCAGCTGATTGCAAACCCACCCATGCCATTTCAGGAATCAACAAGAGCTCCCCTGCCTGACCTAGCTGACACCCACACGGTCCCCAGAGCGGGCAGTGCTGAGTGAACGCCTGTCCAACAGGACAGCAGGTCACGTCTTCATCGTGGCCACCCAGCTCCTCATCCAGACTAGTGCACTGGGCTGTAGGTCCCAGACCCCAGCAAACAGCAGGTCAGGGAGGAGAGGTGTAGCCTGGCTGGAGGGGGCACTGCCGGCTGTTGCGGTGGGGCACCTCTGTCCTGAGAGCACTCAGAGCAGCTGCACTGGAGCGAGGTTGGGGGCCCTCAAAGCCCCAGAAGGAGGCTCAGCAGATGTTCCTCGAATGGGGCCACTCAGACCGGGGCCAGAGACAGGGCCACACCTGGTGTTGTCAGAGGTCTGGCCTCCAGAGCCAGCCCTGGGAAGATGTTCATGGAAAGTTATTCAGTGTAAGGGGCAGGTGGCAAATGTCATGTGCGAGAGAGTCTCGGCAGCAGTGTCACGGACAGATGGGGCCATGCTAGGTCCAGGGTGTTAGAGGGCCTCTGCTTCCTCTTACGAGATGCCAGCGGCTCCTGCCCACATCCACAGATGTCTTCTGATAGGAACAGAGGTTCCCTGGGCTGGCCTCTCACTGTCCTACAAGGTAGGCTCAGTGCATCAAAAGGGAAATACAGTAAGTCCTGACTTATGAACCAGTTCCGTTCTGGGAGAACATTCGTAAGTCGGATTCGTTCGTAAGTCTGACAAAGTGAGTCTTCTATATCTTTGACACAAATATACACTGAAAAGTGTAAAAAAACACACACAAATACTGTGAATAAACGATTTTTACTTTTACAGTTGCCATAATGGTGGTATGGGCTTAGGGTTAGGGTAAGCTACTTATTTGATTTGTTCACATCTACGCAGGTTGGTAATGTGGGGTCCGTTCGTGTCTGTGAAAGTTCGCAACTCAGGGACTGACTGTAGCACGTGTACATTGCTGGATGGCAGCACTGAGACCAGCTGGCAGTCTCACACTCCCCAGAGTGTCCTCGCGCACAGCCTCTGTGTGTGGCCGTGGCCTTCCCTACAGCCTCTCTGCCTCCGGCTGTCATGGCAGCCAAGCTCATGTCTGAGGGCACTAGTGTGGGGGCCAGTGTGGTTCGGGGCCAGTGTGGTTCGGTCCCACTTGAGAACACTGCAGCCCAAGCCTGGAACCTCCTTGCCTCTGGCCAGGGGGAGCCTGGTTTGTGTCCTTGCTGGCTCTCCTGACAGACAGCCCACAGCCTGGGGCTTCAGGCCTTTTTAACTCCGTGGTCCTGGTGACAGCCTCTCCCTGGCACTCCAGGCCTCACTCAGTGGGACGAGGGGATTCCAGCTGGCAGAAGAGCACACATGGTGACAGGGAGGCTCTTCCTGAGACACACCAGTCCAGGCATGGCCAGGGCCTCCTGCTCGGCCATTTAGTCCGGCCATGGAACCTGGGCCCTCAGACCCAAAGCAGAACTCGGCATAGCAGGTTTCTGGGCCTGCCCTGGAGCTCAAGTCACCTGGGTATGCGGAAAGAGCAGACTGAAGCTTAGGAACAGGTCTGTGCAGTGTCCCTCACTCGCCTCGCAGCGTGACTGCAGAGCCCAGCCCTGTCCGCACAGGCTGGTCCCTGGTCCTGCCACACCGCCCCCTCTACCCTAGTCTCATTTTGCAAGGCCCTGCTGCCTTGTGACAGGCAGCTGTGAGAAGGTAAGGGTGAATGAGGGTTAATGATGCCGAAGTCACAGGGCCTGAACACGCAGGGCCAGCAAACAGCTGCTGCGTGTCCAGTATGCTTGCCACTGACCCAAGGCTAGGGACCTGGTCTTCAGTTTTAGGGAGATTACACAGCTAAAAGGATGGGGTGGGGGGAGCCAGCAAGAATAATAAGGCCCAAAATAGGATTTGTCTTCAAGCAGACTTCACTGTTGCCAGAGTTTCACGGATTGCAAAGTGCTGAACTGCAGGTATGAGCCTCCCTGGAGCTCCAGTACAGCCATAAGCTCTTCCCACATAAGCACTGAGACCACAGGCTGCTGGGACAATATACAGAGCATAGCCCTAGCCAGCTAACACCGGCCGATGCCGCAAATGGAAACAGACACTAGATGAGGGCAGCGCAGACTTGGGCAGTGACAGGCACTCTGATGCCTTGCGAGGGTGTCTAGTGGCAGGCCAGCTGGCTACACATGGGCCTGGAGCCCGAGTCCCTGGAGCCTGGAACTGTCTGCAGGAAGCCTGTAGCAGGAGAAGGGCTCACTGCCCTGAGGCCCAGGACCTCACACAGCCTCCAGGCAGGCCCACCAGTGCTCAGACCCTCTCTCTCTCCCTATCCACAGCTCAGCTCTGCACTCGGCACTCAGGCACTCGGCACTCAGCACTCGAGCTGGGAGCTGTCCAGAATGTTTTCAAAGCTCCTTTTGGGACTTCTTTAATCTCGGCAACTCAGAGATCAAAGAGGAAAGGCAGAGGCAGGGAGGCTGGGGTTTCTTTCCTAAGCATTTGGTTCATTAAACTGGAAGGAGGAGATTAAAAGCTAGGCTGCAGGTCTGTTCATGTCAGCCCTCTCTGGGGGCCGGTGGCCAACCCCATCCTCTGCATGCCCCCCCGGCCCTCCGCATCTCTCCTGATGGAGGCCCCAACATGACTCCCCAGTGTCACATGAAGGCAGTCCATTTCTGCTGCTATAACTCAATGTCTGAGGGTGGGTAATTTATAACTTCTACAGTTCTGGAGCTGGGAAGTTGTGGTCAAGGCACCAGCGGATCTCATGTCTGCAGAGGGCTGCTCTCTACTTCCGAGACAGTGCCTTGTTCCTGAGTCCTCATGTAGAGGAAGGCAGAAGAGGAGAGCCTCCTTCAAGCCGCACCTCTTTTACAAGAGTGCTAATCCATTCACAAGGCAGAGCCCTTCCCCGACAGCTGTCAATCGAGGATTCAGATTCAGCATGAATTCTAACAGAGACGCATTGTGAATCCTCTGTGAAAGCACTGTGGCTTTGGGAGCCCTGGAAAAGTCTAGCAGTTGGGACAGTCGCACTACCTCCTTTCCTGAAATTATGCTGGATGCAGGAACACCAGGGCACCTCCTCTAGTATCTCTGCTGTGAGTCTCTACTGTAGGGCACTCCCGCCCTGAGAAGCGCTGGCCTCAGCAGGAGTCACAGAGGGGCTCCTCTATCTTCCCAGCCCTCTATCATCTTGTCACCTCCTTGAGTCTTAAAAGAGCCCTCGATGGAAGGGACTGTCCACTCTCCTATTTTACAGATGAGCAAACAGGCTTAGGCATAAGTGACTTTCCTGTAGCCTGTAAATGGAAGAGGCAGGATTTGACTCCAGGTCTTTGCAACCCCAGAGCTAGGCTTGGGAGACTAAGCTTTGGTGCTACAGGCACGGGAGGCCTTGAGAGGAGGAATCCTGGACAGTCAGTGGCCTGTAAGTACCCTGCCACCCAGGCACACACGCTGGAGGGACAAACAGCCCACCCAGTGCTGCAGCAGTAAAACCAGCAGGCTCACAGCCCTCCCGGCTGATCAGGGCTCCTCTGTGACCCGCATTTTGCTGGGCCACACACCGGGTGGTCCTCTTAAACCCACTGGTCCATCAGCCTTGGAAGCGTGTGTCCAGGTTGACCTGCCTGTCTTCTCCGTGGCATCCCTTTGCAGCCTCCTTGTGAGCTCCCACCCCGAGCCCACTGCCTTGACGGAGTTCCCAGGGTGGCATCCAGGATCTCTGCTCCCTCACAGACCTCGCTGCAGCCTGTCTCTGCGAGCCGGCCCCAGACATCAGCAGTCTGGCCTCCTCTTGGGTGTCCCTGAGGGGCTCCGCCTGGGAAGTGGTTGCTGGTCTCCCAGCGAGCCCCGCCCCCAGCAGAATTTGATACCCCTCCCTCCCCCCTCTCCAGCTCCAGGCCAAGCTCCTGCCTCCCCTGGCAAAGGTGCGACTGCCTCACCTGTCACCTGCACCTGCCCTCCTTCCGCTCCAGGTAGCAGTCCCAGGAGGGAGTACTGGAGCTGGTGACCTCTGGCGGCCCTTGGTGGCCTCCCTGAGCACTCAGAATGAGGCAGCTGTAGGTGTGTGCACCCGTCAGCCCATGGTTCTGCTCAGCCCCCTCCAACAACACACGTTTCCTTGCCACTGTCTCTGGAGGAAGCAGTTTGAGAGGCCTGCAGAGAACAAAAGAGGACAGAGACCCGCACAGCCGTTGTCAGCATCTGCCCACCACCACTGGGGGCAGCTCTGCGGCTCCAGGAACAGAGGCCAAGAACACCTTCCAAATACAGGGCGTTTGCCTGGTCCCCAGGGTGCACAGGAGTGCTTGCTTCCTGTAACCTCAGATGTCTATTCAGGGCCCTGCTAGTCTGGAGGGAAGTCCATTCCAACAGGGCCTCCAGGCCTGGAGCCCACACGAGTCTGCACATCCCATCCCTTGCCCTGTAACTGTTTAGAAGTGAACACATGCCCTGAGCTGCTCCAATCAGTGTGACTCTTGGATGTTGGCTTCTGCTGGCTGTGAACGAGGAAGCTTGCAGCCTTAGAAGCTGCTAGAATCATCTTGGAACTTTAGGATGGAGATGGTACTGCAGAACGGAGATGCAGAAAGAAACGCAGTTCTTGACAATACCATTGAGCTACTGGGTAAAGTCTCAACTGAAATCCAACTTTCCAGTGACCTTTTTATCACCTGAATTAATAAATTCCCTTGGCTGTTTAAGCCATTTGAGGTTGGGCTTCTATCTCGAGCAACTAGAGTCCAGGGAGGTTCCCATTTAAGACATGCACAGGAGGCTGAGGCAGGCGGGGGGGGGGGTCCTTGCTGCCATGGCCCTGGGATCTGGGCCATGACAGCTGCCATCTGAGGAGTGGCCCAGTCTCAATACCTTCTTAGCCACTGTGACCAAGTGTAACTCAGCACAGCAGCAAGCTCCCTGATTAGCAAGGAAGGGTAACCAGGACTGTCCAGGGACAGCCACACCTCTGTATTGATGCATGGCCTCTCGGTTTGGAGGGCCGCACACTCTGATAATCCTTCCAGTTTCTTGTCCCAGGCCAAAGTCCTTCCTGCACAGCACTGAGGAGCAGCAGCGGGGAGTCACACGGGCTGGAGTCAGCAGCCTGTCCTCACTTGGGCCACATCCCACCGGCCAGAGGCCAGAATGCAGCAGCCTTGTCTCCAAGGCCCTAAGTCAACTTTATGTTCTTCCCTCCAGAGGCAGATGAAGCCACTTCAGGAAGGGCCTGCTGGTGGGAGATGATCAACATGAGAAAAAATAGGCAGAGAAAAACGCAGGCTTCCACAGGGCCATGCGTGATGACCAACACACACTTCCTTGGCCTCCCCTCCACTAAGGAGCTGAAAACCAAATCAGCCCGGCCCACGAGTCCCTGTTCATCCCGTGGTAGAGGTGAGCAGTCTGCTGACATCCAGCCAGGGAGAGGGTGGGAGAAGCAGGCGCGCTCACCTCAGGGCATCTGGTTCAGCATTGTTGGGGGCCATTTCGTGAAATCTACCAAAATTTACCCAGCACCTTCATGCCAAGAGGAAATGCCTGCAAGGTCACAGATAATCATACAAAGGAGTACAACACGACCTTAATGGTAAGCAAGGTGCTGCTGCTGATGAAGAATGCACAGGCTTTCGATCAAAGGCTGGTAAAGAAATCCTAACAGATCAGCAGTCAAGAGTGGGGCTATGCCAGAGACCGACATGAGAAGGCCCTGGGGTGGGGATGCAGTGCAGTGCCACACGGAGATACTTCATCAACCACATACCACCCACATGGTGGTGGCGCCCAGTGAGGTCATGGCCATCACAACATACAGCACCATGCATTCCTCATGTGCGCAGGGATGCTGGTGGGAAGAAACCTACCACGGGCCAGTCACGTAAAAGCTCAGCACGCACCATGACGTACAGTGCCTAACACTCGATAAGCAATGACGTTGTTGGTTTTCGTGTTTGCTATACTTTTCCCTTCTATTTACAGTGGTCACTTACAGAACCAAACGTGTTCTATACAGCAGGGTGCCACGCGATGCTGGCAGCACCTCGGATAGACTTCACCCCTCAGGCTTATGTTCACACAATGACACAGTCACCTCATGACGCATTTCCTGTTGCCAAGCAATACACAACTAGATGAGTGTTTGTGCATCCAACTGAACTGCTGGCCATGCCACCCCTGGAGGGGTAAGCCCGCCCTCAGGAACTACACACTCAAGTGCCCTGGGGCAGCAGGGTATACCCTTCTAGCTCCTCGAAGTGCCCACTGAGGCAAGTTCCCCATGGTGTCTGCTCTCAGCTCTGGAACCTGCATCGTCCCGGTGGGGACATGGGCCAGGACTCACCGGGACTACCTGACAGGATTCCCACCGGTGCAGGGAGGGTGTGGGTGAGCCTTGGGGCTGCAGGGCCCAGCAGCAGGACAACAGGGGCAGGGCAAGGACCACACAGAGCCCAAGTTCCCCGGAGGCCTTGGTCACCAAATTTGGGACTTGAATATATTCTTGGGCTGACTATACCGCCTGGGTGTCACGAAGAAAGGGAGGACTTCAGGGGACTGCTAATGAGGAAGGGAGACAGAGCACTAGAGGGCGGAGTGGCTCCACCTGGAATGAACCGTGGCTGGTCTCCCACCTCACAGGAGCTGTGGCTTTGGCAAGACACTGTGCCTCTTTGGCCTTGGTCTCCTCTCCTTAGTGCTGCCTGTCTCTGGGCTTCAAGAGGGAACAAAAGGAGCAGACGGGGTGTGTGGAGGGGTGGCTGTGCCTGTGCGCCGTGCGAACACAAAATCACCAGCTCCATAACCCAGAACACTCCAACGTGGCTCGGGGCTTTTCAGGGTGGCCAATCTGATCTTGCACATGGACACTGGTGATGGTGAGGGCTGGAGACACAAAGGCGAGCCCTCTGCAGGGCCCTTCCTGCACTGAGATGTTGGCTTCTGTCACGTGAGGACAGCCCCAAGCTGTGCCACACAGCCTGAGGTGGGGATTCTCCTGCAAGTGGTTCACTGGACGTGCTTGGCTCAGTGTTCAAGGCTGCTATAACAGGACACCTTGGAGCAGGTGGCTTACAGACAACAGGAAGTTCCTGCTCACGGGTCTGGAGCCTGGCAAGTCCAGGGTCGAGGCGCTGGCAGGCTTGCTGTCTGGTGAGGGCCTGCTGCTTGACAGAGGTGGCCTATACCCTGTGTCCTCAGGGCCAGAAGAGGCGGGTAGCTCCCCCAGGTCCCTTTTATAATGGTACCGATCCCCTTCAACCCAAAGGCCCCACCTCCTAACACTATCTGAGCGTTAGGATTCAACATAATGAATTTTGGGGAGACACAGGAGGCTCTTGGGGAGGGGGGGGAGATGGGTGTGACACGGTATGGGCAAGGGCAGGGGGGTAAGCCAAGGGGGCTTTTGTCTGGCTTGACACCTGGGCCGGCCTCACCCACTGACACGGGAGCTCCCTGTGCCCCCACCTGTCATTCACCAGCTACAGTCTGGGCGGCACGTGGCCCCAAGGCCAGGGGACCGCTCTCTGGAAAAGGAGGTGCTATGAGCCTTAGGCACCCAGTGGACCCACACCTGGGGTGGGTGCACCTCAGTGGGAGGGGTCCCGGTGGGCACTGCAGCATCCGCTCTGCCCAAAGCCCTGCCCAGGAGCCGGCACTTGCCCACGAGACCTGCCTCCTGTCTTTCATGTCTCCTGCATCAGGGCAACCGCCACATGGCACACATGCAGTTAGGGACAAATAACGGAAAGTCAGGGACAGGAACTAAGGGTCACTTGTGTGTTTATTTCTGTGGACTGTGGGTCCTAATCACTGGGCCCTGGTGTGGGGAGGTTAGTTCTTGCCCAGCGGTCCCCTTCTCAGGCCACACTGACCTCTTACTGTTGCCCCATACCACCAGGTACTTCCCTTTGTCAGACACGCACACAGGAGCCAGTGAGGCCCGGAGCTCAGGCCACCTGCACCCAGCTGGTCCTCACACACAGCCCCGGGTGTGCCATGGGATGCAGGGTCCAACCTGCCAACCTACTCAGACCCTCTAGACCTTTCTCGTCTGCTGCAATGTTCTCCTAGCGACTCTCAGGAGACAGCAGGAGTTGTTTCTGATAGAGCCTCAGGTGGATTTCACTGTACCCTGGAGCCCAGCAAGGGCTACACACTTGCTGAATGCCTGGAACAGATGCCTCTGAGCAGTGGGCTGAGGTTGTCGGGTTCCTAGGCTGAGCCCAACAGGGAAATGTTTTCAGGGTGCACTCCAAGCCCAAAGGGAGACTGAAGGCTCTGACATCTGGGACTGGCTGACACAGGCAGTGACACTTCCTGAGAGCACCCCTTCTCTTAGAGGGGAAGACGTCCTGACTGGGAGGGGAGCAGCCTGGGCACCAGACCCACAGCTGGGCTGGGGTGGGGACTGAGCCCCTTCCTGTCTGCCTGTCAGGAAGTGGAGCACGACTTCCTATGCCTTGAGTGTGGCTGCACATAACTTGTCCAAAGTGTACAGCATAAAAAGGTATGAAAAGAGTGACTTTACAGTGGACAAACATAACACTTCCTCAGCCAGTCTGGTAGTGCTCACCAAGTGGCATTCTGGCAAGGCTGACCAGGGCCTCTGAGGTGGGAGAGGCCAGGAGCTGCATCCATACGGACGGACTCGTGTACCTTACTCGCATCTACGCCACAGACCTGGCAGCTGGGCAACGTGGGCATGGCAGGACCTGCCGCACAGGGCACCCCGGGCAGATGCCTACCCTTAGCACATCCCACACCTGCACCTCTGTCACTGTGTTGAAAGGGATCCAGTATGACAAGCCCGAGCCAATGAGCCTCAAGGCGTGTAACCATACATGCCACACGCTCATGCCCAGAATGCATCACTGACAGGCACACCAAACGCACAGACTCACATACACATCCACACTTCCCATTTGCATATGCACAACCTGTGTGGGCTATCCTTGCCAGCCCTGCGAAGCTCTAGCTCAGGTCCTGCCGCTCCTGTTGAGAGCTGGCTGTACCTTCTGGGCTGGGCTGAGTAGCTGTGGAGCAGGGTCACTGCGACCTGTGTTCAAGGCCATGCTCACTTTCTCTGTTTGCGTGTTTGGGATGAAACCTCTGTGGTTCTGACCTCCAGGCCCCATGCTGGGTTTCCCTGCTCAGAGGACAGGCCTGGTCCCAGCCCCTCGTACCCTTCTACCCTGAGGACAGGGCAGACTGCTGGGTTTGAACCTTGGCTCTAACATGTACTTTAGGCCAGCCTTGAACTCACTCTGTAGCCCAGGCTGGCCCCACACTTTTGTCTCAGCCTCTGGAGTGCTGGGATTACAGGTATTAGCCACCACACCCAACTGCACTGCCTGACTTTGAACAAATTACCAAATTTTTCTATGCCTGATTACTCATCTGAGCAATGAGTTCCTATCAAAAACAATGTGCACAGCCGCTGTGGGTTAATGAGAGCGTCTTCGTCAAGCCCAAGGCCTCAGTTTTAGGAAGTGCTCAGGAACGGAGGCCTCAGTTTACCATAAGGAAGGTGAGTCCAAGGAAAAGCAGCACTTTGCTGTGTCCATGGCAACCACACTAGCAATCGAACTCCTACCTGGCTGACAGTGGCTTTGTTCCCCGAATGACAAGACTGCACTGAAGCCTCCAGCTGTGTGGCCACTTACTCTGGGGACATTTTACCCTTCTACTACTCTGTGCAGTGTCACTCACAGGTAAAACTCAAGAGCCTCAGGGTAGAAATCACAAAAATGATCACATTACTATAACTGAAAATTGAGGCTCCCACAGCTCTGAAAGAAAACAAGTTATTTGAATATTTTAGGCAGAGTAATAAAATGTTTCAATTTGCATCTAGCTACATGTCTTGCACCATTCACCACTCCATTGCCATTCTGATTTTAGTGACTGTTTTTGTCATTTGGCCTCCACATGAGCCTAAAGCCTGGAGGCAGCGGGAGCTGTGGATGCTGAGGTGGTGGGCTTACCCTGCCTCTGAGAGGTCCCATCTGTCTCAGCTCTGGGGACTGTCACAGATCTCCCAATGCTAGGTGGGACTATGTGATGAGGCACCTCTGAGTTCTTTGCTTTATGATCATAAAACTGGAAATGGCCTCCCCTGGCTAGTTACCTAATGCCAGAAGCCGGAGCCAGCTGTGCCCTTTCTAATAATGCCTTTCTGTTTCTTTCTTTTCTAATTTCTCATCCTTAGAAAACTTAGAAATCACTCCAGGGTCCAACACATGAGTGGATAAACCAATGTGGCAGATTTATTCAGTGGAATTCTACTTCACAACAAGAAGCAATGTTACTGATACATAACACAATCGATCTCAAAAACATCAAGTTGTCCTGTCTCAAAAATTAAAAGGGGCCGGGGATTTAGCTCAGTGGTTCCACCGCCTGCCCCGAAAGCGCAAGGTCCCGAGTTTGATCCCTGGCACCGCGCCCCCCAAATTAAAAGGGTCAGGGATGGAGCTCAGTGTGAAGGCCCTGGGTTCAATGCCCACTGACACACACACACAAACACACACCCATCACGTTGGGAAAGAAGCCATTTTAAGAGTACACTTTTCAGTGATTCTACTTACATGAAGCTCTAGATCAGTCAAAAATAACATAAGGAGACAGAAGTCCCAACAGCGGCAATTTTGAGATGTGATTGTGGTGAAGGTCCCCAGGGGGTATGCATTTGCCAAAATTCACTGAACTGCACATTTCATTGAGTGTAGATACCTCAAAAATGGTCACTCTTGGTCATTTCAAAAACTACAGACCAATGAGGAGTAATTCAGAAAGGCACAAAGTAAACAAAACCAAGTCACTCGCAGCTAACCCCTGGCCGTCACCGCAGTAGCTGCTGGAGCCTATTTCCCGGTGGGGTCCGCGGCTCACACCGCACCCTCGTGCGCACGGAGGCAGCAGCACTCGCCCGCCGGCCCCGCTCGCCTCCGAGCCAGCTCCGAAGGTCCCGAGCTGAGCGGGCGCTCACTGCCACATCCGGCGAGGCACGCGCCGCCCACCGTCCCGCTGCCCACGCACACGCGGGAAAGGACGTCTCCCCGACAGAAGCCGCGGAACAGCGCTTCCGGGCTCCGGGGCGGAGGCGGAAGTTCCGCCCGCCGGCTCCCGTGAGGCAGTGCGAAGCGCGACGTAGCCGGAAGCTGCTGGCGCCAGGTGGGCGACCCGCGCTCCTGCTGCAGCTCGGCGGCCCCCGGCGGTACCCTGGCCTAGTCGCGACCCGACCCCGACCCCAGCTCTGCCCAGCGGCTCTGTCCGCCTCCTCCCAGGTAAGCTCACGGCTCGGCGCCCCGACGCTGCCTGACGCCCAGGCTCCTCGGCTATGCCCCTCGCCCCCCAGGACCTGGCCGCGTCCGCCGCCCTTCGCCAGTGCCCCCGCGAGCACCGGGCTCTTTCGCCTCTCATTCTTTTTTTGTTGTTGTTGTTGGTACCGGGGATTGAACTCAGGACCTTGCACTTGCGAGGCAGGCACCGGAACCACTGAGTTAAATCTCCGGCCCTCGCCTCTCATTCTTGCCGTCGCGCTCGGGATCTGGAATCCGCCCACTAGTTCGTCTTCCCCATCACCTCTTCCCGAGCTCTTGCGGACACAGACGCGGCCTGGCACAGCTCACTAGATCCCCGGGGAATCCCACCGGCTTCTACCCCTCAGAAGAAAAGGACCTGTCCACAGTCTCACCAGGCTTAGCTTGCTTTCTCGTTTTCCTTTTCGCCCTTAGACTTGGCTGTTTTGGGGGAGGGAGGGAAAGACATAAAGACGAAGCTCTTAACACTTTTTTCAGTTTACTCGTGTTTAGAACTATGCACCTTGTCTGCCCTGTTAAACAACTCCAAGCTACCAATTCTAATAATTCTGCTTAGTTATCTTAGGTCTCATATTCCTGCCATGCTCTGTTAATGATGGCTTCAGAGTGGGACCCTAACTGTGTTCCAGAGGATAAGATAGCTGTTAGGTTTGCTTTGGCATCCGTTTCTGGGACCATCATCCCTTTCAAAGTCAAGAAAATAATCTATTCTTTAGGATGAGGAAAGGTTATTCCTAGACATGGGTTCTTTTTTTTTTGGTACCAGAAATCGAACTCGGATCTTTACGCTTGCGAGGCAGGTAGCAGAACCACTGAGCTAAATCCCTGGCCCTAGACATGGGTTCTTTGAGTGCCTCGGACAGTTCTGAGGAAGACAATTAGTATTTCACCCTGTTACCTATTATGTAGTCCTAGGACTAAGCAGTGTCCTGAAATGTCCCTTTTGATCTCAGAGGTTGAGAGGGTCCCAATTTAAAAACCAAATGTTTTGCAGTCTGAGAGGTGGTTTAGTGAACTTAGTAAAAGTGAATTAATGTGCTTGAACACGTAATATTTATGCTCTTGAGATTAGGAGGCGTTTGTTTTCACGTTATGAAACTGAACATTTCATGTAACTAAAGGCACTTAGACACCCAAGATTAGTCACACAGGAGAGTTCGTGTAGACCTAAACCAAGTCATTTACTTTTTGCAGTTTTTCTCTCTCCAGTAATTCTGTGAATATTTCACAGACTTAGAAATTCAGAGCAGTTTCACCTGGTCTTGACTTTTTTTTTTTTTTTTTTTTTGGTACCGGAGATCGAACTTGGGTCCTTGTGCTTGCGCAGCAGGTGGCGAAACCACTGAGCTAAATCTCCGGCCCCAGTCTTGACTTATTTTGCCTCTGTTATGTTGACCAAGTTGTGAACACCTGAGGCCGAGCAGTGTCGAGGAGCCATCGTGCTGAGTGAAGGACCTGCCCTGGTCTGTCTGCTGTCCTCCTCCACCAGAGGGCTTTGCCAAACAGACCCACCAGGGCATCTGAGTGTGTGTGTTTATCCCAATTCAACTTCAGGGCTGGGTATAAGTAGACACTCAGTGTGATTACAGTATTTGGCCTGAGCGAGTCAGCCTAGGTCTAACTCCCACAGGCAGGAATCAGCATTCAGGCATTCACCTCATGGTCTGTGGTTTCAGGGCACTGTCTTGGCCCAAAGAATTATAGAGCAGAAGGGAGCCTAGGATGGACTTTTTTTTTTTTTTTTTGGTACCAGGGATCAAACTCGGGACCTTGCACTTTCGAGGCAGGCGCCGGCACCATTGAGCTAAATCCCCGGCCCCTAGGATGGACTTTTGATTTTATTTCACTCAAGTACAGAAAACAAATATTTCCTAATTTCAAATAGTTTAAAAATGGTCCCTAGTGACTGCAAAGAGGCAGGAACTTACAGAAGGGTTGGTGTGGAGAGAATCAGCATCATCCCCAGTGAATAACTTAGATTTAAAATGGCTGGGCGTGGTGACACATAGCTGTAATCCTGGCACTCTGGGAAGTGGAGACAGGAAGATCACAAGTTCAAGCCAAGCCTATGCAACTTAGTGAGTGGGAACCTGCCTCAAAATTAAAAATAAAATAAGGATCAAGGATGTAGCTCAGCACAAAGACCTTGGGTTCAGTCCCCAGTACTACAATAATGATAATAATAGTAGTAATAATACAGGACACAGGGTTTTCTGAATTTTTTAAGTTACACTTCACAGTAAACCCCACCTGACTGTGAACGGAAAAACCAGTCTAAGCAATTGTCTTCAGCACAGCAGCAAAGTAGCAAGGAGACAACACCGCAAGTATCAACAGTGCAGCTGTGTGTAGCTTCCATCACTTACAGAGTGCTGTGTGTTTTCCATGCGTGTGCTGCCCTGTGAATTGGAGGGAGCAGCCCACAGGTCCATTTGGGAGGAGGATGAGTTCTGGAGAGGTGACACCCTCAGCCAGGGGTTGGCAGGGCAGCTGTGACCTGAGGTCCCGGCCCTGCCTGCACCCCAGGCCCATGGGTGCTGGCTCTTGCAGAACTCGTGAAGTTAATTTATGTCTGACACTTTTGTTAGTACCAACCTCTTCCTCTAGCTTTGATTTCCCTGGTTGTGAATTAAATGGGTCACCAGTTGAGGTTGAGCTTTGCTACAGCTACTATTTCTATAAAGAAATGAATAGCTCTTGGGCCGGGGGTTTAGTTCAGTGGCACCACGGTTGCCTTGCAAGTGCAACATCCTGAATTTGATCCCCAGTACTGGGAAAAACAAAGAAATGAATGGCCCTTCTCTTCAGCTTGAGCCTCTTTGCTGCTGCTCCCACCAGTGTCCCTGGAACCTGGTGGTCTGTGGGCCACTGTTCTTGTCTGCTGTGACCTCGTTATCTGTTGTTTCCATGCCTCAGGGTGTCCCAATGAGAACCCACCTGCAGACCCTCCAGCAGGCTGGCCTCTTAACACCACCAGTCAGGGACACCTCTTTGCCCCACCTCACAGGCTGGGGTCCGTGGGGGCTGGGCTCCCTGTCATATTTCCCTTTCAGATAGAATCGCATTTATTAGCCAATTTGTGCATGTTTTGTAAAGACTACCCCTTGCCGGGAGGTTCACCATTAAAGGAGAAGACTTTTTATAAACCGTGGAACTCAGTACTTAAGGAGAATGCATGCCACCAGTTATTTCTTGGCATCCCTAAGCCCTGCCCTGGCATGGCCTGGGAGCGTCGCAGAGGGTGGAGAGGAGGAACCTTCAATAAGTGGGCTGTGGTGCTGCTTACAGGACGCAGCATTACACGGTGCCTTCCAAGGGGCTCCTCCGAAGTTCTTGGAGTTACCGCTCTGTAGTGTTTTGAACTGTCCGTTTACTTACTTGTAAAACAATCTATTTGTAAGTTGAAGGGTTTGTTTTCCTCTTTTGCAGCATTATGGCCAGCCCAAGGACCAGGAAAGTTCTTAAAGAAGTCAGAGTGCAAGATGAGAACAACGTGAGTGTACACTTGGGGGTGTTTTGCATAGGCCTATGCACCTCCCGGGGTTGCATGTGTCTGTGGTTGTGCACCCCTCCTCGGGGCGGCTGGTCGATGGAAATGACCAGTCCTGGGCAGCAGCCTGCTGTTCTGGCGCTCACTGATCCAGCCGTAGGGAGCAGAGTTCCTGCTAAGGTGCTCAGGTTGCACTGATGATGATCTGCTTCATCTTTCTTGAGAACGTTTTATAATCGGGGACTGTTCCTCTCCATACCAGTTTCCGGGCTGCACCCAGACCCCACCTCCCTTTGGCCACCCAAGAAGCCCCATTGTGCTTGCTGACACTGGCTCTCTCACTCAGGATTTGCATGTGCTGTTTGCCCTTCCCCTGTTCTCTTTTGAGGACACCTCTTGGGTCTTTGGGGTCTGGCTCTGCCCTGAAGCACCTGGTGAGTTGCATGTGATTCCTTTTGCAGGTTTGTTTTGAGTGTGGTGCATTCAACCCTCAGTGGGTCAGCGTGACTTATGGCATCTGGATCTGCCTGGAGTGCTCTGGGAAACACCGCGGGCTTGGGGTGCATCTCAGGTCAGTGTCCTGCTGCTCAGATCTCGTGCATCTAACCCAGCATCTATGTCACAGTGGGCACCTGCCACCCAGAGTGCTGTCTGACCACCCTGCTGGGTAGCTCCCTCTCCAGTGCCACAGTGGCCAGGCTTGTCAGCTGCTGGCTACCCAGCCTCCTTGTAGCCTCTTTTGGCTTCTATCTTGCTACAAGAAACACCAGTGTGTAGTTCACATCCCACCCTTGGGTAGGGAGGCTGCTGGATCTGCCTGGTACTTGGTAACCAGATTTATTCTCTGGTTTCTAGCTTTGTGCGCTCTGTTACAATGGACAAGTGGAAGGACATTGAGCTCGAGAAGATGAAGGCTGGTGGGAATGCTAAGTTCCAAGAGTTCCTGGAGTCACAGGAGGATTATGATCCGTCCTGGTCCCTGCAGGACAAGTACAACAGCAAAGCCGCAGCACTCTTTAGGGATAAGGTAAAGACAGGCGTGGAGTGCTCTCTCTGGTGTTCCAGGCTGTGTCACCTATTCTTGGGGCTAGAACGTAGCTTCAGTGGCTCTGAGAGTTAAGTTTCTTCTGTCAGTTGAGAATTAACCTGTTGAGGTTGTGCATAGTTCAGGTATAAACAAAGACGTGACCCTTGCCTCATCCAGAGCAAGCTCTTCCTGCCTGAAGAGGAACCAAGTGCCCCATAATTAACTAGAGAAAAGGAACTGTGATTATAATGCCTCTCATATATCTTGGCTGCAGGCCTCTGAGAAGTTGGGAAGCCTATTGTTTTGGGGCCAAATAAATGCGTCCCTGTGCATTTGACGTTTGAGCTCGCCTACACAGTCACTCCTCACAGTCACCATAAGGCTTGGCCTCAGCGCTCACAGTTGGCACATAAACCTGCGCTGCAGCTGCTGTGGCCCAGGGCCCGTGCCTGTGCTGGCGCTGGGACGTGAGCTTGGGTGCCCGAGGAGACAGTGTGTGCACTCGGACTGTCTCCTGTCCCCTTGTCAGGTGGCCACTCTGGCTGAAGGCAGAGAATGGTCTCTGGAGTCATCGCCTGCCCAGAACTGGACCCCACCTCAGCCCAAGATACTGGCATCTGCTGTCCACCGGTAGTTACCCCTGCTGGTCAGGCCTCAGCACTATTCTTGGCTTACCCTGAGCTTAGCTGTAGCTCAGGACCCCCACAGAAGCCTTGTTTCCCCCTGTTGTGGGAACGACTCCAACTGGGAGCTGTTCCCAAAGTCACCTTCTAAAAGTTGCTAAGACAATGCAGGTGTTTAGAGAACATTCGCCTAGTGAGGTATTTTCCCCCTGCCCAGGCTGCCTTGGCACATCTCCTTCCAGGTGTGTCGTGCAGCCTTGGGAATGGTAGCAAGCTGGGGATGTGGAGAGTTGCCCATCATCCTGCAGCTCCCCACGGTGGATGCATCGCAGGTCCCACTGCAGGAAGTGTCTGATGTGGGGGCTCACCGTGCACCCTGAGTGCCCGCAGCCTCCGCGGTGTGACCACGTCTCCCTGCAGGACCTGTCACAATACCCTGGCACTGCAGGCGGTTTCAGCTTGTTTCCTGACTCAGGACCCCCACCCCCACCCCCCGCTTATGGGAAGGGTCTTCGCCCTCAGACACATGATTCCAGTTGGTACTGCTGGGGCCTCCTCCTGGGTTGGGGCCCTCTGCCTCCTGCCCATCCCAGTGCTGGCCTCGCTGACCTTTGACTCTCCATTTCAGACCCTCTGGCCAGACACAGAATGTGACCGCCTCTGCTGACAAGGCTTTTGAGGACTGGCTGAATGATGACCTTGGCTCCTATCAAGGGTAAGTAAGGCCTATGAAGCAGGCAGCACTGCAGGGGTCTGGGGGCATCGGGCAGGCCACCTCTGAAGGTTTAGTCGCCTGGGATAGGACTGCTTCCTCTGGGTGGCTGGGCCCACTTTCTGCAGAGTGCGTATGAGCAGAGCCCAATGTGGCGAGCCCCGGCCAGCCTGGATTTGAATTGGGAGTCTTGGGTGTAGAGAAAACTTAATACTTAGAGAGAGAAAAAAACCATTTTCTTTGTCATCTGCCTGGCCAGTGAATGAATTTTTCTTCCTAAAGCCGTCAGAGTAAGTCATTTCGATGCTTCTTCCAGAAACCCTGGTTGTAAAGTTGCGGGTCTTTCTGGGGACCCTCAGGCAATGTGGCAGGAGGGACCTTTTCATGTGCGTGCCTCTGACTCATGTGCAAGTTGCTACGAGAGCAGTGCATCTGGGAGGCGGGAGGCGGGGTCTGGGCTGTTCAGGAGCAGCAAGATTCAGGCCTGGCTTCCGCCTATCTGTCCTTCCCTCTCAGGGCCCAGGAGAATCGCTACGTGGGGTTTGGGAACACGGCCCCATCTCAGAAGAGGGAAGATGACTTCCTCAACAATGCCATGTCATCCCTGTACTCGGTAGGACTCCAGCCCTGCAGGGTGCCCCTGCGGCAGACACAGCTGAAGGGGCTCCCTAGTCCTGGGCGCATGGACAGCCCGCTGTGGCCTGCTCCGATGGGTCTGGTTGGAGGCCCTTCTCCCTTATCCTCTGTGGAATTTCCTTTTCAAAATATGGTTACGGACTGGGGATTTAGCTCAGTGGTTCCGGCACCTGCCTCGCAAGCACAAGGTCCCGAGTTCGAACCCTGGTACCAAAAAAGCAAACAAACAAAAATATGGTTTAAATTATTCAAGTCCCAAATATATTACAAAATACATATTTTGAATTTAACAAGGTGCATTCCTTCAAAGAGCTGAAGGTTTCCTATGGAACCTAGCAGCACTACAGGACACGGGCTCAGCCTCCCCGGGGACCTGTGTCATGTGGGCTGACCCAGGAGGTGAGGCTCTGGTGCAGAGGCAGGCCTAGAAGCTGGACAGGCGCTGCTGTCCTCTCGGTGGCAGTGTGCAGCTTTGTGGTGTCTGGCTGATTTCACGCCCACTCCTTGTCTGGGGTCGCCTGGAAATTCACGGTCAGGTGTCCAGGGTGCATGCGACGTCCCAAGCCAGCTCTTCATTCTAGGAATACATTTTGTCAGCCATTCTTATTTTTTCTCTTTTATTTAATTTTTTAAAGAAAATTTATGTCAAAATTTCCTTTTATTGCAGCTCAAATTTCTTAAAAAATTTTTTTTTATTAGTACACGTTTGTAGTACAAAATGATTACATTTTGGGGTTTTTTTGTTTTTGTTTTTTTTTTGGTACCAGGGATCGAACTCGGGACCTTGTGCTTTTGTGGCAGGTGGCAGAACCAGTGAGCCAAATCCCCGGCCCCAAAATGATTACATTTATGAGGGGGAGTTGGTACATGGATGTGACACATTTGAGTTCTTTTTCATCCCCTACCCCTCCCATCTGTCCCGATCCTTCCAGCTCCTGGTACCTTTCCCATTTGTTAAAGATCTTCCCTTTGTCTGTCTTTTATTTTATTCTGTATTTATATTTTGGGTTTCTCATATAAGAGAAACCATTTTTTTGAATTGCTTTTTTTTCTGCCTTTCATTGTGGCATATTCCTATAATCAGCTACTTGCGAGGCTGAGGCAAGAGGGTTGCAAGTTTGAGGCTATGTTGAGCAATTTAGCAAAACCTTGTCTTTAAAAAAGGGTTAAAAAACATTTTTAATCACATACTGGGTGTGGTGGTGCACACCTGTAATCCCAGCCCTTGGGAGGCTGAGGCAGCTACATAGTTCAAGACCAGCCTGAACTACATAGTGAGGTGCTGTCCCAAAAAAACAACATCCAAAAGGATTTGGGGCCACTGGGAACTTAGCTTAGGGGAAGAACCCCCTAGGTTCAATCCCCAGTTCCACCAAATCAGTGAACGAATGGATGAATGATTGTCCCTTGGCAGTTGTCGGAGAAAACAGCCTTGTGCTCACACGTGGGTCTGTGACCCTGTGACCCCACTGTCTGCATCTGCTGCTCTGGGAGGTGCGGGGAGGCAGTGGAGGGAATGGGCTGGAGCTCAGCAGACAGCCTGGGCACCCGGAGCCCTCCCTGCAACGTGCCTAGTTCCTCTTGTAGCCAGTCCACGCACATGCTGAGCCCCACTCACTATTGCAGGAGCTGCAGGGGTGTGTGAGGTGCTCTCTGTGGAGCCCTCTGGCTGCTGAAGTGGGCAGAGCACAGTGTGGGCGCAGCCAGACATGGTTCCTCCTCTGTTGCCTTCTCAGGGCTGGAGCAGTTTTACCACCGGAGCAAGCAAGTTTGCCTCTGCAGCCAGGGAAGGTGTAAGTAACTTCATGATGCGTGCTGGCTGCTGCTGGCTTGGGGCTGTGGGAAACAGAGGTACCAAGGAATCCCGAGGCTCTCGCTTCCCCAGCAGAGAGGCCTGAGGCCTTGGCCAACACAGACGACCCAGGAGTTCTTGCTGTGGTCCCAGGTGTTTCTGTCAGGGCTGATCTCCCTGCAGAAGTTGATCTGCCCCTCCGTTGGGGCAGATGTGATCCTGATTGATCCCCAAACCTCTGCCCTCACCACTGAGTAAGTTGTGGGTGCTTCAGGGTCTTTGGTAGTATTGGGGTGGGCTGGGTTTTCCTTCTGCCTTTGCTTGAAATGAAGGAAGGACTTGGGGATTCAGTTGGGACAGGTGATGGTGTACGGGAAGAGTGTCTGCCCCCAGAAGTGGTCTGGCAAACGGTGGAGGGGAAGAAACAGACTGTACCCGACATAGCACCAGACAAGGAGCGGGCCCTGGAGGAGAGGGCCTGGGTGGGCCATGTGGCCATGGTGCTGAGAGGAGCAGGGACAGTGGTGGCTTGGCCTAGTGAGCCAAAGCCAGCTGGAAGCTCCGGATTGGCTCTTGCTCTTTTTCTTTTTTTTTTGGCACCGGGGATTGA